TAGCATAACTTAATGCTGCTTCTAATATTGTCATACAGTATATATTATATCGCTGACATGAAAATATTTTTAAAATAAATTTGAGGAAGAGTTTCTGATCATGCTAACATTTAGAATTGTTTAAGTCATACAGTACATATTATATCGCTGACATAAAATTTATTTTTAAAATAAATTTGAGGAAGAGTTCCTGATCATGCTAACATTTAGAATTGTTTAATGAAAAGCAAATAGTTGGAATTTAATGAGTTGATACATCTGCTCAGTATTTTATCTAATGTATTTTTTAAAGTTTTAAACTATGTTAAAACACACACATTGTTTATAGTTCTCTGATTATTTTTCTACATTTGAATTTTGCCCCTTATATTTGTATCCTGCCCAGGCATGACTTGTGTACAGTATTTAGATAGGAGGGCAGATCACCCAGACATGTCTGTCCTTGATCCTGCTTCTCTTGTGAAAACCAGAATCTTGCCAAAAGTCCTTGGTACATCACAACAAGGCATATACAAGGGTAGAGCTTGGAAGTTAATTTTAAAAATTGATTGGTAACAATTGTCATTGCAAGCCCCCAGTTAATCATAGATACAATTTTTAAAGTTAAAGGTTTCCAGTTTCTCAAAAGTGACTAAAATAGTTATATATGTACTGTATATCTGTATGTATATGATTACAGCAACATGAGGTATAGGATAAGGCAGCCTCTCCAACTATTTAACAAGTCCACATTTCTATAAATATAGAACTAACTAGAAAAGTTGCAGCTATATGGCAAAAGCAATAAAATTAATATTCTTGAAGCTACTAACATAATATAGCTTAGTTTCACTTTTCTAATTGAAAAAAGGTGAATTCTAAGCTCTGTAACGAGTGTGTGTCAAGATGCTTCAGGATAGAGAAGAGGGAAACTCAGGAAGCCTGGCCAAGCCAGCTGCTACTGTTTCCAATCCCCATCTCAGCAAAATTATTTTCGGGGCCAGCTACAGCTTTGCAAAGTACAGTAGTTACATTGGCATCATTGCTTCTCACCAAGCAAATCTAGATTAGGAGACTACCAGACTTTACAGGACATCCCTGAGAACTAAGGGAGTCAAAAAGCAACAGTCTTTAATATTCTCTGGGTGTCAAGCAATCTTTATTTAGGAGCAATGCAATGGATTTATTGCTAAGGCTTCATAGAATAATAATGAGCACACACAACGTTTTTAAGGAGGTAGGCTTGTTAATAAAGCAAAATCAAACAAGAGAATGGTTAGAGGAAAGTGTAAAATAACAAAGTAGTACTATGTCTGTACATACAGGAGTGTGTTCTCAGAACAGGATCCAGAACCAAAGGGCAAGGTACATGAGAAAGGTCAGAGCCAGTAGATGGCCTCATGCTTGCACGGTATCTTTTCTGCCGGAAATGACAGAATTTATTGGAAATGCAACATATCATCAAAACCAGTGGCTGAAATCCTAATGGCAGAGCTGTGCCATGCAATGAGGATGATGTTATCAGCCACAGTTGTGCCACAGCAATCGTGGAGCAACAGAAAGCTTCCTGATGCACCCTGTCACCAGGTTTCAGGGATCTCCAGGGTTCACCTTTGTTCTGGGGCAGCCTTTGGTAGCTTCGGAATGAGAGGAGAGACTATTTAAAGCTGGAAAATTGACACCATCAGTCCTGGTCCTGCAGCCTGGGATCCATGAAAATGAGGGTTGTGGCTCTAGGAAGCTTTTTATTGCCACGAAACAAACACCATCCTCAAGTGAAATTGTGCAATAGGATTTTAGCCAGACAGGTTTCTTCACAGTGTGATTCTTGGTTGCCTGGTATTGAAGTTATAGCTTTGAGGTTTAAGTTTGTCAAATAAGCTGTTGAATCGAAAGTATTTATTCATATTTAATGCTTTTGAGCTGTTTGAATCTAGCAGAATAGTGCTGATGACTTGTTCCTGGGGACTAGCAAAGTTTGTTTTATCATTAAATATAGGAGGGCTCTATTTCTTAAATGTAGCCCTCTTTCTCTTTTTAAAGCATGTTTTCTTAGTTAAAGAACTATCCAGATCCCCAGATATATTGTTGATGGAGTTAGGGTCAGGTGGAAAAGTATCTCTACCTTCAAAGCCCTGTTACTCCTTTAGACAGAGTAGTTGCTTCTGCTGGCGGTAGGCATTCCAGAGGTGGGTGGATCAGGGAGAGACTTGGATCTGTTGGACTTAGATGTCCAGATTGCTTAACCACACTAACTTGAAACTGATGTACCTAATCCCCTTCTACTGAAACCAGTGAGAATAGAAAGAGGGGAAAAACAGAACTACTATAATTAAGAAGGAAAACCAACCATCATCAGCTAGGCTTTGGAAGAAGTTACCCGTTTCTTCATTCTCCAACTTCACTGTAGTTGAATTTCTGTGCCATGTGTCATCAGTACACATGTATCATCAGTATAACCATCATTTTACATACCACTCTTCCACAGAACGTGATCAAAGCAGCTGAAAAAGAACAGCAATACAGAAGCAAACTGCATATCACTGCAATTTTTCAGTAATAAAACATTACAGTAAGAATGACCCAAACATTTTGGGTCTAAATGCTCTATAACACACTGACTGTAATCCTGTTGTTTAGTATAAATGAAATCATAACTTCTGGTCTGTTCCTCCCTGGTAAAATAAAGGGCCCCTGCCATGGTTCTTGGGGAGCATTCAGACATGTGTGCACCAAGCCAGCATGTTCCCATAAGCACTGTGGAAGGGATGGTTTGTTTACCAAAGAGGAACAGACCAAGTTACAATTTGGCTTATGTTAAGCAATAGGATTTCAGCCATTACCTGTGAAAGAAGCATCATTCATTAGTATTATTTCTCAATGATACATAAGGCCGAGCCAATTTATATATATATATTCTTGTGAACAAATACTACTTGAAATGACAGTTTCATCACGTTTTACAACAACTCTTTCTTCTGTCTATAGCAAAATAATTCTGCTCTGCATTTGGCCATCATAAAAAACAACCTACCAGTGATACAAAGTTTAATAGATGCTAAGCATGACTTAAACTCTCTCAATCAGGTGAGAATTACTCTAGTCCTTTGGAATGAAATTTGAAGATGGTGAGTTCTTTCTTTGTCTTTTCTTGCTATGGGTCAAGCTAGGCATCACAGAAAGCACATCATTAGAAGTGAAAATCATATTAATGTTCTAGAGATGTGGCAGAAGCACATTTTCATGTCTGAGAATCATAGTTGCAAATGAAAATCATGTTCATAAGATTGATTTTCAGGGATGCTGGCAAGTCTTCTAGTCTGAGTCTCAAGTCTGAGTTCAAGTCTCGGGGTCTGAATCCTCAGACCCATGCCTTGAGACCAAGTCTTGAGTCATGGCACGTATGCAGACAGCTGGCCTGGAAGGGAAGCTAGGCCAGCACATGCGGGATTTGCTGCCTCTAAGGATGGTGGCAGCAACAACAGCACCAGGTAGGGAGGCCCATCCCTAATAAGGACTCAACAACACAACTTCAAAATATCAAGTCCAGTTGCTGGTGATGACTTAAGTCAGACTCAATGAGGAGTCATGACTCGTGAACCCCCATCCCTTTGGTTTGCCTCCTGATGACCAGTCCCAGAACTAAGCAAAGTAATCTGCAAACGATGGGATGTGTGAAGTCCCATATAATAGTTTTCCTCCAGGTGATCACTCTCCATGTGTGTTGGACTACAGCTTCTACCGTCAGCATTAGCAAGCCTGCTCTTTGGCAGTGCCTAACTGGGAGTCCTAACCTAACACAGGAAGACCATTTGGGAAGATTGCAGTAAATTGCCCTGTTTTATCCAATATGGACAGGCAAATATCAACAGGATTGTAAAGTTCTGCTATTTTTAGAAATCCTGCTATCAGTTTTACCAATCAGGAATCAATAAGACTATGAGGTGTCAGCCACAAGAATGCATTTCAGTATTGTCTTTAGGTGGAATTACGTAGATAGAAAGATCTACTTTCTAATTTCAAAGCAGGAAATTGAAAAAGAGATAATTGATTAGCTTATCTATATACAGAGAATATATGATGGGACACAGGATGTTTTATCAGCCCTGTCTGTTACACTGAACTTGTATATTTGACTATTTACGTAGTTGTGGATGTGGTAAGGCAGCTTCTAGGGAATATATGCTGGAGCAGGACAACAAGAGAGAGATTCTTGAAACAAGAGGTCTCTTGTGCACAGCTATCTCCTTAATATTTCTGTTTGCTGATAGTACTGGCAACTTTTTATGCTATCAGTATATACACCAAATTCACTAGTGCAGTAACACTGGGCAAATCTAGCTTGAGCTATATAACACTTTCAGGCAAGGTCTTTGCAATAGGAGGAATTTAACTCATACAGTGGATGACTCTGCTCATTCACTTTGTTTTCTAACAGATAATAGATAGCAAGCCAGCCACTTGCCACCTATCGTGATTAAAATAAGCACTACTCATCCATGAGAGCAATGAATCTCTGTGGAAATGAAGGTTAATGTGGAAACAATCCTAGTCTTCTCCTAGTTTCCACAAAAGCAGGCAAAGAAAAAAAGTCAGGGACAAGCACAGATTATATAGATATTAATCATTTGTCTATGAGGAGCCTCGTGGTGCAATGGTTAAACTACAGTACTGTAGCCAACACACTTCTCATGACCCCAGTTCAATATTGATGGTCTCAGGTAGCTGGCTCATGGCTGATTCAGCCTCCCATTCTTCTGAGATTGGTCCCAGCTCACTGGGGTGGTGGCGGGGAGGCAATGTATAATTATGTGGTAAACCACTCAGAGAGTGCTGTGGAACAATATACGAGTTATAAGCAGCACACTTTGCTTTTGCCTTCTTCTGCAAGAGGAAAAACAAAAGCTTCAAAATGAGAGGCAGTACCTGCATACAGCATTTTTCTACTGTGGACAGAAGTGTTGTTTCCATCTACACACAGCTCCTAATCCAGTGTAACAGCTCCAGTGGCAGAACAGAAGCAGCAGCAGCAATCTGTGCTGTTTCTCATTCCTTCCTGCAGAGTGCTGGCTCCCTTTGAAAATGTGCTCTTAAGAGTGGAGGAATTGCAGTTGTGGGCCAAAGAAAAGGGGGTGGAGGGGAGAATTATTTATTCATTTAGGATGTTTTTTTCAGATGGTCTATCACTAAACAAATAAAATGGAGTTGGGGGCATTTCATGCCAAAATTTGGGAGATTGGCTTAATGCCAACCCTGCCACAAGCCATCTGTCTTTCATCACTTTTAAGAGAAACTGGGAGTTAAATTAAAATTTCCTTATGTCAGCTCTAAATTCCTGTGCAGACTAGAATAAATATGGCTTCAAACTAAAATAATCACTTTCTGTTCCCTGTGTAAAGAGACTACTGATTGTTTTGTCTTTTATTTTTAATTAATGGGGGACATTTCTTTATGTTCTGCTATGTCTTGCTTGCTGAAGAACCATCAAACACCTTTGCACGTGACAGCAGACCTTGGAAATGTAGAAGTAATGGAAATGCTCTTAAAGGCAGGTTGTGACCTCAACATTGTCGATAAGGTACTTTTTATGATTCTTGTTTCTGTGGAAATGCAGTGTCTCTACATATACAGCCATGTAAAACAAACTGCTCCTTTGAAATGTTCTTCATTAAGATACAAGTCTTGATTTCATCTTTCTCAAAAGCTTCAATAGTCTAACATTAATTTAGTGAAGCACCATCTGTAGAGATCAAATCTACAATACAGTGCTTGTTTTGCTTTGCTTTGGGTTTTGTTGTTGGGAAGCATAATATAATACAGTTACTGTTGCCTGAAAAAAGTTTCCTGTTTTAACTGATTTGGTGCCACCTAGCAGGCATTTTAAAACTTTTTATCTAAGTAGTGGTATTTTTAAAAAATGTACTTCAATTTTCTTTCTATATTTTTAATTTTTTTTTAAAAAAACTAGCCATTAAAATGTATGGGGAGTGTTTATTTATTTATTTATTTTGAAAGAAACATTTGGTCCTGGTGTGTGTGTCCCAGTCCTCTGGATTTTGCCTGCTCCTAAACGATAGGATGATTCACAAATGGAATGAATAACAAAAAAGCTGGAGACCAACTCCAAATGTATATAACTGAGAACTTAATATTTTATAATCAATTGTGTTTAGGCACAAAGAAAGGTATGAGAATACTTGGACCTCTAGAGCTACAGAAAGTGCTAATGGAGGAGATCAAAAGAAACATGTAACATGAGGGTTAGGGATTCTGGTTGTGTGCGCTGAGAATGAGGAAAGGAGACTTGTCAAAACCGGATTCCAGAGACAAAAGAAAAGGAGGTGTTATTAAGTACTAGCATGCTTATTCTGTGGAGCAAAGGCTGGTGTTACTCCTTCTCTCCAGAGAGGTAGCCTCAAAACTGTCATTTTTGCATGCTCAACATACAAATACAGACCATTGTTATTGTCCAGTGATCAGTCCTGCAAACAAAAATCAAACTAACTTGTAATTTGTCAGGGCTGGGAAATACGTTAGAGGAAAATTTCACATTTTGTTACCTTAAGTCGGCCCCTCTTCTAATTGTGATGTTCCGTATCTCCTCTGTCTTGGCCCTTTGTTTCTATCTGTTCTACAGTCGTTACTCTATGGGCCCAGGATGGGTTACATCTTTGCCATGAGTGTGGTTTTCCTCTCTCACTGCTTAAACACTCTTAACACATGGAAAATCTGGGACAATTATTATTATTATTGTGGGAAGCTGTTCTCAATGCAAATCCACTGACATGAAAAGATTATTGAGATCACCTAGTGAAGTCATAGGGGGCTGTGACCTAGCAATACCCATCAGTGGCTATCACAGAGGAGACTGATTGGAATGCTTTGTTATAAAGGCAGCAGCTGTTAGCAAAGACTTTGATTCGTTTATTTACAAATGTATGTCAAAAGGATTCATAAGAATAATTAAAGAGTGACATGGACCTGGCTTTGTAGCTAGCTTTAAAGTTTTAAGAAGTAGACCAAAGGAAAACGAGACTCCAGAAAAATGCAGGGATTGCCTTTTTGACCCTTATAATCTCATGTCGACCTTTATTTGATACTTACAGTCCTCACACTGATCCAAGCACATAAATCTGGCAGCTGAGGTAGTATTTCACTTCTCTGAGAATATGAATAGTGTCCACAAAAACTTGATGGCACAATAAATTTATTCGACTTTAAGGTGTCACAAGTCTCTATTCGTGTTTCATTGGTTTTGCTCCAACAGACTAACATGCTTACCCTCTAGAAAATGTTGCACTTGGATTGTAATAGGTGGGCTAGCCCTCAAGAAATTTGATCCCAGTGCAGTGAACTAAAATGTTTTAACATGTGTTGCTATCCTCAGTGAGAATTTCATCCTTTCAAATCTTCAGGAATATCAACTGATTCTGTGAGTCATATTGTGGGAAAGTAGTTGTACATATAATTACAGATGCTTCTAGCTTGTTTCTACTTCTCAACTATGGTTCACCTGTGACCTTTTTGGTCATTCAGTCTGTTTGCATTTCCAGCAAGGAAAAACTCCACTGGCTGTAGCTTCCAGGAGTAACCATGCCTTGGTTGTTGATATGATTATAAAAGCAGAGAGATACTACACGTGGGAAAAGGTAAGAAGCAACTCTAGTTTATTTGCCTTTCAGAAAATCCACAGATTTTTTTCAGAGACCAAGAGATTTCTGTTCTGCAAATGGCAGACTTGGAGGTCTTGTGCAACATTTTGTACTGTCATAAACAAAAGACAGTGTAAAGGGCAGGGAAAGAACATGAATTAGAGAACAATTACATTAACCTGGAGTCATATGGCTTTTATTATGATGTGTTACAATATTAATTACATCCAACATTCCCTCTAATTTTCAGCCCCACTAGGTGGGCCCCTGCCCTTCCTGCTTGTGACTCTGGTCCCACCTGTACATGTGACTCCACCTCACCCACACCGTGCACAGTTCTGTCATGACCGGAATCAAAGGAGCTGGAAACAATTGCTGTGTGGCCTGGGGGAGCCACCATGCGTGGAGCAGGGTGGAGTTGCACTCGCTCACACAGCTGCGCACCTTAGAGGGAACCTTGATTACATCCATACTGAAATACACACTTTCATGATTGTCTTCTGTATCTGGAAATGATGTTAAGAGAGACACTGAAGACTATGTTCTGTACCAGAGAGAATGGATCAGCTGCTTTGGTGCCAGGGAAGCCAGCTAGTTCTTGGCTTGTGAGTAAAGCCATACTGATACCTAACGCCGAGGGAGGCCTGGAGAGAAACAACAAGAAACTGGGCCTTCTCGGCATCGCCGAGGGAGGCCTGGAGAAAAACAACAAGAAACTGGGCCTGCTCGGCAATGGCCCCTGGAACAGAAATTTGCCTGGCTCCCTTGCTAGGTGTTTTTAAGAACAAACTTAAGACCTGGCTCTTTAGGCAGGCCTTCCGTCCTGTCATTACTTAATTTATTCTTGCCATCTTGAATTATATTAATGCTGTTGTTTTATTTTATATTGTTATTTTATGAATTGTTGTTAGCCGCCCAGAGTAGACTTAGGTCTAGATGGGCAGGATACAAAATAAATCTTGGAGAGGACAAGATAGTAATGAGGTGAAAATGAAATATTGCTGTTCTCTTCAGTCTAGATGGGCAGGATACAAAATAAATAAATAACCTGCAAGGAACAACCAGTTTGCGTATAGGGCAATATGGGAATAAGCTCCATTGCTAATCTGAGTGAGTTTCACCACCCTTAGATTCTCTGTCACATTAACATTCCATTCTTTATCGTTGTGATGGAGTTTTTGGAGAGGACAAGATAGTCATGAGGTGAAAATGAAATATTGCTGTTCTCAGAAGTTTATATAAAATTTCTCACATTGTTTTTTTTCCTTGGTGGCTCTGAGAACTACTAAACAGAATGTAGGAATTTGTACTCCTAGGACCAGGAATGAACTGAGCTAAATGAAAGAGGGACTCTTTATACAAATATCTCCAAATATCTCCCCTTAGGTTATCCCACCAAGGTCTCGTGACATGGAAAAAGGTTGTTTTGTTGTTGCTGTGATTAAACAACTGCAGTGAAAAACCCTTATTGTAGAAATCACCCAATAGCTATACCATCTGGTCTAGATTCTGTTCACCTCAAGTGTATCTGTTGTCTTTTGCCAATGGAAATGAGAGAATTTTTTTCCAAATTTTCTCTATAGTCTATATCTCATTCATACTCTATAGTATTAACTGAGTAGCTTCTCCTAGTTTTGCATTGATATACCTGGAGCCATTCAGTAAATAAAAAATGGCATTCTCTTCACTGCCTTTAAAGCAGTGTTCCCCAAACTTTTTTGGACATGGACCGGTTGGGGGTTACTGGCTCGCTGTGCGGACTGGTTGGGGGGTGGGGGCAGCCCCGCGCTCACGGGTGGGCGTGTTGCACTTGTGCGCATGCGCGACATGCCCCTTGCACTCGTGTGTGACACACCCACCTCTTCGGCAAGCCCGGAGGGGAGGCGGCTTCACCATGGCGGCCCGCTCGAGCCTGGAGGACGTTGAGCTGACGGGCAGAGTGCCTGACCCAGGCCTTCCAGGACTAGGGCTTCTGTGCCCTCTTGGCCGAGGACGCCGCTGAGGTGGCGGCCCAGGAGTACCAGTGGGTGCTGTAGACCAGCCAGGCTGACCTCCGCCACTGCTACCTCAATCTCTGCACCCCCTTCCACGTTGATCAAAGAGTTCTGGCGATGGTGGTCATGAGCCTGGACTCCTCGCCTTCCCTGCAACCAGTGGCAGGTCAGTTCCTTGCAGCTGCCCAGCGACAGCCGTTGGTCCCTACCACACTGCCTGGCCCCCAGCCTCATGTAGGGGCATCTATAGTGGGGTGGTGGGAAACCCTTCTCCATTCTCCACCTCGAACATAGGGCTCCGTTGGAGCAACAATGGGGCGGGTGAGGGAGGCGAAGCTGGTGTGTGTGTATTGGGAAATGGGGAAGCGGGCATGGGCTCAGAGGACTCCCCTTCCTCCTCCTCGAACTCTTTGTCTGGGCTGAAGCTGAGCTTGCCCAGGCCTTCCCCATTTGGTTCCCGCGGGGCCCGCTCATCGTAACGAGTTGACAGAGGGCGGGGTGGCCCAGGAGCGAGCCAGCTCCAGCCTTGCCTCACTGGGGCCACCCCAGGCCGCGCTCTTTGGGGAGTGCATGGCGAGGAGAGCCGGGAAAGCCTGCCGAGGGTCCCCGTGCCACCTCCCCTCCCCGGGGGCTTCCTTCCTGCCCAGAAGTGACTCACCCGCTCCCTCATGGGCAAAGCCAGTCCCTGGCCGGTGCCATCTTGTGTGCACCCCATTGCCCAGCAACAAGGGAGGGCACGCTGCCAGGCCTGCCGGGAGATGGAGTCTGCGTGCCTCGCTGCAGCCGGCGGGAACTGTATTTCGCCCAGTCAGACTCTCCTCCCCCGAGGTCATCACCGTCTGCTCCGGCTCCAGCCTGCTCCTGGCCGCTGGTGAAAGCTCCCGGCCCGGGCTTCGCCAGGACCAGTAGGATGACCACCAGCTGACCCTTCCACCTTGATCAAAGAGATCTGGCAGCAGCGGTCACGAGCCTGGACTCCTCACCTTGCCTGCAACCAGTGGTGGCTCAGGTGGGGTGGCCTGAGTGCACTCGGCTGCAGCCACTGGTCCTTGCCACACTGCCTGGCCCCCAGCTACGAGGAGTTAAGCTGCCGCTGGTTGCAGGGAAGGCGAGGAGTCCAGGCTCATGACCGCCAACCCCCAGATCTCTTTGATCAAGGTGGAAGGGGGTGCAGAGATTGAGGTTACACACTTGCGTGTCACACTTGTGCACATGCGCACAAGCTGGACACGCCCACCAGCAAGCGCAACATACCCCCCCCCTGTGTGGGCGGGCGGGGGGACGGTGATCTCTGTCCAAGGCCCAGTTCAAGGCAACCCACGGACCGGCACCGGGTCGCAGACCAGGGGTTGGGGACCCTTGCTTTAAATGAGTTCACATACATTAGATGGTATTTCTTTCAGAACAAAGGACTACAGCGGCATCAGAAGCACACCCAAGTCCCAGTTTATTAACTTTAAATGAGTTCACATACATTAGATGGTTTTTCTTTCAGAACAAAGGACTACAGGGGCAACAGAAGCACACCCAAGTCCCAGTTTATTAAGCATAACAATGAGGAAAAATAATTATAATTATAATCAATAAAAGATGGTTTATTTGACCATGAAAGAAACAAAAGGATAATGGAGATGGCTTTGTTGACAACTTATTGATTAATAGCATAATGCTTTTAAAATATTTATATACATCCATTATTATCATAATTCCTTGCAATACGTCCATTTTATTCTATATACAGCCAGTTTGATTTTAGAGTAGCTATAGATACAGGGTATAAGTAACAACCGGCACAATTTGGCTGTTTACATGGAAAGCAGCATGAGATCTAAGGGAAAATATTAGAAGGAAATACCTTACTTGTGCCTCTTCAGCCCTCTGCAATCAATGTGGAAAGGTCTGATTGACATCCAGGTGGGCAGGGCACTGGATGCAGAACTTTGTGCATTCTCTTGCTTTGAGGCTTGTATCTCCCCAGTATTGTTCTGGGGGGAAAAATGAATGCGATCCTTGTGGGTTAGGATGCTATAAAGGGAATAGAAGATTTGAAGATGTGTCTTTAGACTGCCTGTGTTAGTTGTTAAGAACAATGTGGCTTAATTATGAGAGGTTGTATGTAACTCAGATTTCAGTTACACCAAGGAACCCGATTAGAGTAAAGACAAAATAAAAAGTAAATCCATGAGTGGATCTCCTAATCTGTTCTCTAGATTGAAAGTAAGCTGTAGCCATCTCAGTAATTTAAACATAATGTACTGGAAAATGAGTTGAGGCCATCTGCAACCCTCCAGAATGCCTCTCTGGAAGACTAGAGTTCTCACAGAAAATATAGGACAGGGCCTGCCATGCAGAGAAAGCGAAAAACCTTCTTTCTCCAAATGACTTTATCATAGAGAACAGGATTGCTGCAATAAGGGGTGTGGAACCTAATTGTGCCTCCAGGGCTTCAGGGAGTCTCCTGAAAAGCAGCAGGTGCCTTCCTACAGTCTGCATCTGTCCAGTGATTCCTCTGTGTGTGTGCACGCACATACACTGCTTTCCATTTTTTTTGCCCTTTCCCACCGTGCAGCCTTTGCACTTCAGCCCCCTTCAGAATTGCATCCTGCTTACTCTTACAGTTCCTCTGCAGGCCCTCTTAGTTCTGTTGGTTTCCCACATCAGGCGACTAGTAGTCTTGTTTATTTATTTTAAACTCGGATTGAGAGCCAGTCTTTAAGGAAGAGGGAAGAGGGAGGTAAGAACTGGTGGGTAAAGAGGGTGTTGTGTGTTCCAGTTTCATTTTGGTGTAGCCTTGTAATTGTCTGAGGGTAAATGCAACAAAACACAAGAAAACTGAAGATGTGCACCCACTTCCCTCATGTGCATGGTGTGGTTGGCAGGTCCTGTAATCTTTATTGTTCAGCAATGTAAAAGCCTCACAGGTATGCCTCCGACACAATTCTTGTCGACACATCTTGACATATTGTTTTAATTCACACCCAGTGAGCCTCGGCAGACAGGCCTGAAGGTAAATGTTTTCCGCTTGTTGACTCAGTTGCCTGAGTTACCTCCCTTGCTGTCATGGCTATACTCCTTTCTTCCTCCTCCTCCCCAACTGTAGGTTGAAGGGGGGCTTGAGCACTTTCGTTTATCGCAAGGGCTGATGCAAATTGGGAGGTCACTTCTTCAACTCTTCCCTGAGCTATGTGGACTGGCCCCATTTAATGATACAATACACTTATAAATTAGCTCTCTGCCTAATGACTTGGGATGATGTTCAGATCACATAATTGCAAAATGTTTTCCATCATAAAAGCAGGAGGTGGCAGCCGTAATCACGTGACTCTATTCAAACGGACTAAAGCTGAGTATTAGCAAGCCCCATGATCTAGTGGTTAAAACAGCAATACTGCAGTCAAATTTCTGCTCATGACCTGAGTTTGATCCCAATTGGCTTTGCCTTCCATCCTTCTGAGGTTGGCAAAATGAGTGCCCAGCTCGATAATGGGCAAAGTGTCCCTTGCATAGTTGTGTTGTAAACTGCCCAGAGAGGACTCCAGCACTATGGGGTTGTATATCAGTCAAAAGAACAACATTTGCTTAACCTTGATAAAACATGAAGAATAAAATCCAGGGTTGTTTTGTAAAGATCATATTTGAAAATCTTTAATTTGAAGAACTGCAGGACTAATCTTTGCAAATTACTTAGTGAAAGTTTACTTTCCAGGAAAGTTGCCATAGTGGTGATGACCTGTCTTTTAAACAAGACCACAGTTTGCAGACCAAGCAGATCCGCGCCTCCCTTTGGAATCTGGCTTATAATCACTTAAAAATGCGGGAATGGACAAAACTTGCACAGTTATGGAAGTTTACAGATCAACAAATCACAGCTATTGAGGAACAATGGACAGGTAAATATACTAGACTGAATATGACAGAGTACATATTCTAGACATAGAAACATTTAGAAATCCAAAAGTGTCTGTGTTGTGGATTAATTAAATTTTGTCCCTTAAAGCCTTTAACCTCAAACATATATGTGTGGCATTAATTTTTTTTAAAGAGGAGACATTTTAGACTAAAATATTGACTGCATGTCTTGCCAACTTTGAATAGTTGTCCTCAGCTGTTCTTTCTGTTACCTGTAGCACAGAAGATATACTAATGTGCATTTTATTGTGTATAGAAGAACAAAGCGTACTTTTTAATTTTTACATTGTGGTGAATGTGTTTTCTTGGCAGAGACTAGCTCTTAAAAGGCAGTCAATAAATACCTCTCTTTCAAGTTCAGTACGAGCCTACAAGTTTCATAGTTATGAAGTTTGCTTAAAGAACCATCTCATACTAAAACTTGTTCTTAAGTAAATGGGTGTGCCACAATATTTATGCACCATGTATCCTGGTGCACAACCTTTGTTCTGGAAAAAACAGAGTATTGTTAGGATAGAATATGGAGAAACAAAATGGTTTCCCATTGCCAAAGCTGTTAGACAATGTTGTTGTTTTTCTTCCTGTCTGTTCAGTTTAGATGCAGAACATATCATGAAAATCTAGGTTAGATTCAAATGAAAGAGGAGCAAAAATGGATGTAAGAAACATCAACTAGTTCAGGTGTGCAGATGACACCATACTGCTAGTAGAATTTAAGAGAGATATGAAACAATTGCTGATGAACATTAAAGAGGAAAGAGCAAAAGCAGGATTACCACAGAATGTTAAGACAAAAATCACAGTTACTGAAGTATTACAACGAACAATGTAGACAATGATGAATTTGAAATTGATTTCCTGTATTTGGACTTAGCCATTAATTCAGATGGAGATTATAGGCAAGAAATCAGAAGAAGGTGAAGACTGGGAAGGGCAGCTAGAAGAGGAACTAAAAAAAAGATCTTTAAGAGTAAGGTTGTGTCACTGGACCAAGTCCAGGATTGTCCATACTGTAGTATTTCTAATTTCTATGCACATATGTGAAAGATGAAAGTGAAGAAAGGTGCCAGGAAAAAAATGATTGAAGAGAAAAGCAAAAAAATGGTTCAGCTGAGTTGTTCAGGAGAAAATAAGTTTTACTGGGAAAGACTAGTGCTGGGAAAACTTGAAGGCAAAAGGGAAAAAGGAAGACCAAATATGAATTGGATTGATTCTATAAAGGAAGTCACAACCTTGAGGTTGCAAGACTTGAGCAAGGGCTGTTAATGAAAAGACATTTTGGATGTTCAGTAATTAATAGGGTCACCATGTGTTGGAAATGACTTCATAGCATATAACAATAACTGACCACCATCACAGATTGTACTTCTTTGAGATAATGAATTAAAGGTGTATAAAGTCTCATAAGTCAATGTATATGTTGTTATTTATATCTGTCAATTTGTCCAAAAGGGCACGAGAACAGCTTTCAGGCTCACTCATTTTGCTCTCAGTATTATCCTACCAAGTAATGAGTAAACCATATACAAGGCTATTGTTTGAATATCTGCATTCATTTAGAACACATTTGCACCTTGGTAATGTGTTTCAAATAAATATGCCTTTTGTTCTCATTGATCTAGGCAGATGAGACCAATTAAATAAACCAATTGTCAGAAGTCACTCTTTCAGCTGTTAATGGGTGGGGTTCTCTTACGTTTTGGATGTATTTGATCAGACTAGCAGGCTAATACAGCTCATCTACCCCATAAAACCATTTAACCACCCTAATGCACTTTAATTTCACTTGATTAAAAAGGTGGCTGATGGATTGGGGAAGAACACTTCAGGGTGGTTACAGGTGAAAGTGCAGCAAAAAAGAAAAAAACTGAAGCCATCATATTCCCAATGAAGTAATGGGCAATTAAGGTTTTTTTTAAAAATAATCCTTCAAGTAGAATCTCAGTTCCATTACATCCAATGGGCAGAATAAGCTGTTCTTAACTGTGACTACATCAGAGTGTATTAATTCATAATTCAAGCACCTGAATCCTGCAATCTCTATTACACATGGACTGTTCATATTTGTATCCCTAGGGATCACTTAGTACTCTCAAGCTGCATTTTCTTGTCATCACTGGGTTATATATCTAAATCAGGAAGGAACATGTGGACCTCTAGATGTTGCTGGACCACGTGCGTCCCCATCAACTCCAGGCTGCATAGCCAATAGTAAGGGCTGCAGTGGGAATTGCAGCCCAATCACACCTGAGTTGCAAAACATTTGTCTGGTTTGGCAACTTGATGTTCTCCAGATGTTTTGGACTAAAGCTGGTCACTAACTGTGCTGGCTGGGACTGAGGCATGTTGGAGCACAAATCATCTCAAAGGCAGCAGGTTGCCTACCTTTAGTTATCCCTCCAACCCCTATGATTGCATAGCACTTGTCAGCATAAGATGTCTATACTCTAGCCTGCCTAAGCATTAAGTAATCAGATGATTATTCCCTTCTGCAAGTGCCTTCAGTGGGTGCTATGCATGGGAAATGGAAAGGAGGTTTTTCTCCCTTGCACTTTTCATGCATATTATCCACTGAAGTGAGTGCCCCAAACCCAGATGGCAGTATGGCTGGTGCTAATGTATTTTGAAGTGCTACGTTTTCCTTTGTCTTGGCATTTTGAGTTTATTGATTTATGTCAATGCATAGTTTTTAGCTGATGTGTTCTGTCCTCTATTTTATGACGTGGTGCTTATTGATAGGTGTGAAGGAGGAGTAGATGTAGAGAGTGTGCCATCTCCTCAAATAAAGGAAACTATAACTGAAAGATCAAGAGAGAGAACAGAAGGAGTGATTTATAATGTTAATGAGGAAATAGGAATGAAGACAGAGATTTGTTTGGTCAAAGAAGGAAAGGGAAAGGAAGGGGAGGAGTTAATATTGCCAGTCTGGTAGGAGGATAAGAAGGGAAAATAGGAGGTGAGAACCTTTAGAATTCTGAAGGAAGGCATGAAGGAAGGGAGAGTGAATATAAGAGAGAGAGAACGACCTCTTTCAAGACTTCCCTAATTTGAAAGTGGGAGGACTGTTGCTGGACCCGACCACGAATAAAGAGGGAGTCACCGTGAGCGAGACTACAGAATGGACAGTGGTAGTGTTCCCAAGGGGACAGGGTCACTTGAGGAGGGCAATTCATCCTGACGCTATTGACAATTGGCCAGAAACATACTGGGACTTTAAGCTGGCCTAAGTATGATCATGTATATCATAGTGGTGAATTGCTGCAAATTAATGAGTTGCTACTGGCATTGCTGGTTAGGTACCAAGTGCCACAACTGCCACACAACCAGGAATGCAAGTGGCCACTCATTAATAAATAGCAATTCACTAGTCACCATTTACTAGTTATACTTACACCAGTGTAAATCCCCAATATGATTCTGGACACTATCATCTTTTATGTGAAACACTGTTTGATGCATTTTTGTTTCCAAATACTATGATTCTATATGTTGTCATCTAGGAAAAAAGAGCTACAAGGAACATGGACACAGAATGCTTCTGATTTGGCTACATGGTGTCCTCATTGCTGGCCAGAATCCAATCAAACATTTGTATGAAGACCTGGTGAAATGTGGATTCCAACAACTAGCTGGTGAGCAGTTGGTAAAAGTATTACGGGTAGTAGATCTTGCATCCAACAGAATATATTGATGTGGTTAAAGTGAGGCTCCAGACTTCAGAGACAAAAAATTCTTGTTTCAAAAGCTCAACTTTATTTCTTCAGCAAGATGCTTAGGTTAACCATGGTCTAGTTGGCCCAATGCACCTTCCACATATAAAGGATGTTTAATGGTTCCCTGTAGGGAAGAAAGAGTCAGCTGTTCTCAGTTTGCTACAGTATTTGGAAGTGGCCAGGGAAATGCTGTGTGAAATTACTGCTGAGGAAAAGACTGCTATCCTAAGCAAAACAATCAAATGAAAAAAGATAATGCTGGAATTCTCTTGGTATTCACAGAACATTTGCATAATTTGTAATAACTAACTATGGCTAATCACATACCCATAATGCATCCCAGCTTACGTGTTAGCCACAATTACCTAGTAAGATGTAGCTAAATACCAACACATTTCTGGCCAGTGAAGTAGCAGGATATAGCAGCATAGGTGGGCAGATGTTTGAACAGAAGAAAAGAAAGACTTATGGACATGATTAGCAACATAGTCCTGTGCAGAAGGAAGTCCTACTGAATTTAAGAGTATTTGCTCTCAAGTTGAGGATTGCAGCTTAAGCATTTGTCTATATCACCAGCAGATGTAAGGCAACAAATAAAGGAAAGAAGATGGCTATAAGCCAGTGAATAAAAACTCAAAATTGCCCAAGATTTTAGTGAAAGCAATTCATCTTTCAAAAAAATCTGTAATTGCCTTTTCCTTAACCAGTTGCATATGTTCTTTATGGCACGTCTCACAAAGAGAGTTGGAAGGTTACTGAATGTTATGATATGCACAAACCTAAGTGAATAATTTACATCTGACATATGTTATAGTCATGTGGTGTTTTCTGAACTCTAATGAGAGTTATTTCCCCTTACAGAGAAGATGAGAGCAGAGAGTAATACTGGCACAGATTCCAAGAAATGCACAGTTTCATGAACTGATCTATCAAAGAAAGAATGAAGCTACATTCTCAAATGATTTACAAATAATCTAGTTAATTTCATTTACAAAAAACTGATCCTTCAAAAGCAGCATTTTGCTCATTACACATTTCTTTTCACTGTAATAATTTTGCAGGTGTATTTGCATATTTATTTGTGAGGTGAAAAAGGATACTCCCTCCCTGGCTCTCAGCAATGTTTTTTAAATTAGAAAAGATGATACGTTTTTGCTACAACAGAATGTATTAATTTTGTAATGCACGTGTGAATTAAATTTAGATGGGAAAAGTTGCTTTTTTGGATTATAGCTCCCAGACCTCCCCAGACGGCATGACCATTCCATCTTTGGTCAAGCTATATATTTGTTACATGCAGAATACATATTTTAAGCTTAATCTAATGAATATGATGTAAATGTAATGGTGGGATAGGCAACATGCAACATTGTGGGCATTTATTTTCAGCCCCCAAGGCCATCTGGAAGCTACTCCATTTTTTAAATAAAATTGGAAGAGACCAATTTCTGCTCCTGGAGGCTCCCTACAACTAGTAATTTTTAAGTTGAGACCTTGTGAGGGGGAGGTATGGTATCTATTAAGAACTCTCAATTCTCCAGCAAAAATGAAGCCAGAATCACCGATTTAGGCAGCTCCTGTTTTCATTTTTTTTAAAAAAAGATTTGCACGAAACAACTATGTCCAGGCCTGGTACAGCCCACATCAGACTTTTAAGACAAATATTATATTTCCCATCTTTGCTGTATGGACATAAAGTAATGTTAGATTCATATTTTACTTAGTACTTCGTGCCAAATAGTATACAAGTGATGTTCTTTCAGTATAATTCATTGCAGAAGCCTTTCTTGACACATTTTCTTTTTTAAAAATTACCTGTTAAATGTTTCCTTCCACCCATTTCTGCTAGTAGACATCTGTTAGGATTTGTCATTTTAAATAAAATGTTCTTCCAGAAACGATGTGATGGATAACAGCAACAAAATCAGGAAGGGCTCTACATATATGTGTTTCCCCCGTCATCTTTATCTCACTGTCATTCCCCCCATGACCCATCAAATAACTGCTTAGAAAATTTAAGGACACTATAAAAGTACTGCAACTGGACGGTGAATCTACCATGTCCGCAGCAGTGTCTGAGACACAGTAACATCACAGCAAACAACTAGGAGTTAATGAGGTGCACATTTCTTACTACAGTCAACCCTTGACTTACAAACTTAATCCGTTCCGGAAGGAAGCCAAATCAGCATTTCCCATAGGAATGAATTGAAAACCAGCTGTTTTTGGTTCCTAGGTCGAGCCATGGTTTGTAAGTCAAAGCATTTGTTCCCATAGGAACTAATGCAAAGCCGCTTAATCTGTTCCTACCACTAGGGGCAGAATTTGTTTTTTTCCTTTTGACCTAAGATGACTTAGGTTAAAAAAAGGAAAGAAAAGAAGAGGGAGGGAAGGAGGGAACAGACACCTTTTCAACAGAACACCTTGAAAAGCACTTTTTCAGCCAAGACAAGCACCTTTTGGGAACAACCAAGCACCTTTCAGACAAAAAAACACCTTGAAAAGCACCTTTTCAATCAAGACAAGCCAAGACAAGCACCTTTTGGGGAAAAGGGGGGCAGCAAAGGAGGGAGGGAATACCTTTTAAACAAAGCACCTTTCAGATAACAGAACACCTTGAAAAGCACCTTTTCAAACAAGACAAGCTGAGACAAGCACCTTTTGGGGAAAATCCACACTGCAAGACCCATAAGAGCACAAACATAACAACCCCCACAGCAAGGCATAGCAATCCAGCAACCATTCCTCCAGCACAAAAATGCCTTCCTTCCTGAACAAACAACACATGCACTTAATATTTTAACCACAGGCACAGACACTTTAAAACACTGCAAGACCCCCCCACCTAGCCCTACCCCCCACCAAGCTGCAAAAAACCCTATACAGTACATACAGTAAAGTAAAAACATACAGTGTACTCACCCAGAACAGGCAGTCGCTCTGCTTTAAAAAAGAATGTCAAAAAGCAAAAATCAAAAATAGCCAAAAAATAAAAATACAGTCCAGGCAGTACCAGGCAGTCTGAAGACTGTCTCCCAATCCATTCTCTAAACACTGGGAAGAGCGAGGAAGCAGACAGGCACCCTCTTCACTGGCCAACCGTTAACTGAAAGTTCAAATTCTGCGCTTTCCCCGCCTCCCGCGCATGTTTTTCAGTTCGTAACTCAAATCTAAGTTTGTAAATCAAGTCAATATTTTCCTATGAGAGTGGTTCGTAAGTCAAAATGTTCGTAACTTAGGCCGTTCATAAGTCAAGTGTTGACTGTAGTAAGGTAACAATGAAATCATCAGCATTTAATGTGGTCAAACATACCAACATATGTCTGTCACTGCAGCGCTACCTCACTTGCCTCAATGAGTGTCTCCTACAGAGCATCTAGGCTAAAGTGGTATCAAGGTTCAAACAGTTATAACAGTCTATAGGAAACATCAAATGGAATAATCAAAGGTTACTTGAAACTAATTCCTCCTTATCTAACACCATGAAAACATTATTTCAGCATCTTACCAGGAAGTAACATCTCCCAATGTGGTACTAACTTCCTTTCATGGGAATGGGGATAGGATCCACCAGGAGTGCAATGATGACAGTGTTCTCACCATAGTTATATTACAAATCTTAATTTTGTACACCGATTCTATTTTGAAATATTTGTTCAGCTTATGTTTCACAGTAAACTTGCCAGATTTACAGCTGTTGAACTTAAGTTGAACTTGGCTAAAGAAATTTGTACATCTGTAGATCTTGTAATGCTGTTTGCAAAGAAACTGCACACACAAAAGCACCATTTAAATCTCATATAAAATACAAAATGTTTTATTCCTTAGAAAATAACTTGAAAGTATTTTGAAAAGATAAATTAAAAATGCATACAAGATGTGTGTTTTTAAATGTTCACAAGAATATGTGCACTATTTTCTATGTGGTAAAAGAAATTTCACAATCCAATATAAACTGGGATGGAAATATTATAAACAAAAAAATACAAAGAATTTAATGGAATTGCTCTCCTTTAATAATAAGTACAGGAAACTGAGTTCACATACATGAAGAATACAGTGCTAAAGTTCGTGAACTGTCTTTGCTGACAGAAGGAAATTAATGCCAACTAGACTTCTAAATCCATTCTGGACCGCCTACACTGAATTTTCACAGGTGCCATTGGAAAGAAAAGTGCTTCCCCTAACTTCTTTGAGGATAAGATGACAAAAAGATCCATATGCCTTACTTGATGTCTGCGCCCAATCCCAACATTTTGAAGTACAGCTCAGTATATTGAATGCACTGGCTATAAAAAATATGCTGGAGGTTTAGGCAGTATGAACGTTCTCTCTGTAGTGTTCAACCTGCTGCATCTGTTTTATGTATCCAAACTATCATCTCATGTTACAGCCAGTCATTCAGCTGGGAGCCTACAAGAGATTCACACCTAAGGGCCCCTTCCAAAGTTAAAAGCCAGAAGGGAATCTGAAGGCTGCAGTTTTTGTACACCATAACTTTCCTTCTTGTAACCCTCCTTCCAATGCTTTAGTGCCCACTATGGGATTACAGGAGCTGGTAAATTCACCCAGCAAAGTGCATTTTGAGCTAAGTTCTAAAATAATGCGGCACTGCAAATCAAATGTGCAGTTATGCCACAGCAAATGGTTCTAGAAAGGCACACATACAAATGTTGTTGGAAGCATGGAACACTGGATTAGGACATAGTTGTGCATAATTACATAGATATGTTGGCACTCATTCTTAGAAATTAGAAATATCTATGTATTTCCAAAGAAAACATACTTCATATTTTATATAGACCAATATCTGCAGTGTTCTTAATTTAAGACTGGTGAAGGTAAATCACAAGGAAAGCAAAATCATTTCTGAATTTCAAGTCTAATTCGTATATCAACAGTTAAGGCTTTATTTCACAATAAGGTAAAGTTACATATGAGTCATTGTTAATTTTGTATAGTAGGAATAATCATGCTTCTTAGAATGTACAAGTAGTTCAAGTTTATCCTTTTTATTAAAAACATTAAATAATCATATTTAATAAAACAGGTTAAGAAAATAAGAATTTCAAGTATACGTTATTTGTACAGAACAATATTGGTCCAACTCAGGTGGCTTCCTCTTTATGTCCCAAAACATTTTTACATGTATAATATTACTGAAAAGAATAAACATGATGCATTCTTATATGAATTTCCAAACATAAAGGAAAATTTTGAAGTATAACCTGGAAAATTTTCTCCATGTTTAAGGTAAAGTACAGGCCTTTTCATCTGTAAACTTAGTCAACCACCTTTATTGACTGGATACTACTAGGGGTCTGAGTATGAGTTTTTCCGCTATGTCCTGGAGGTCTCATGCTGACAGCATTAGAAAACTGATGCAAAGTTCGAGGATATTTAGCAGCAGTGGCTTGGGATATAGTGTGCTGAAACATACAAGCAAAATGAAATTATGTTCTGTCTTATTCTAAAAGGCTCCAATAAGTATAGCATTTTATTTAGTTATTTAGTTACCTCTCTATCGATCGATCGATCGATCGATCGATCGATCGATCGATCGATCGATCGATCGATCGATCGATCGATCGATCGATCGATCGATCGATCGATCGATCGATCGATCGATCGATCGATCGATCGATCGATCGATCGATCGATCGATCGATCGATCGATCGATCTATCTATCTATCTATCTATCTATCTATCTATCTATCTATCTATCTATCTATCTATCTATCTATCTATCTATCTATCCTAACTAACTAACTAACTAACTAACTAACTAACTAACTAACTAACTAACTAACTAACTAACTAACTAACTAACTAACTAACTAACTAACTAACTAACTAACTAACTAACTAACTAACTAACTAACTAACTAACTAACTAACTAACTAACTAACTAACTAACTAACTAACTAACTAACTAACTAACTAACTAACTAACTAACTAACTAACTAACTAACTAACTAACTAACTAACTAACTAACTAACTAACTAACTAACTAACTAACTAACTAACTAACTAACTAACTAACTAACTAACTAACTAACTAACTAACTAACTAACTAACTAACTAACTAACTAACTAACTAACTAACTAACTAACTAACTAACTAACTAACTAACTAACTAACTAACTAACTAACTAACTAACTAACTAACTAACTAACTAACTAACTAACTAACTAACTAACTAACTAACTAACTAACTAACTAACTAACTAACTAACTAACTAACTAACTAACTAACTAACTAACTAACTAACTAACTAACTAACTAACTAACTAACTAACTAACTAACTAACTAACTAACTAACTAACTAACTAACTAACTAACTAACTAACTAACTAACTAACTAACTAACTAACTAACTAACTAACTAACTAACTAACTAACTAACTAACTAACTAACTAACTAACTAACTAACTAACTAACTAACTAACTAACTAACTAACTAACTAACTAACTAACTAACTAACTAACTAACTAACTAACTAACTAACTAACTAACTAACTAACTAACTAACTAACTAACATGCCGCCCACACTACCCAAAGGTCTCTGGGCGGCTTACAACATTTAAAAGGATAAAGTACCATAATCCAAAAGCATCAAGAGTTTCCCAGATAACACTTGGCATATTGTTGTAGAAAAATCAAGAACCAAAAGAAAAAGTAGTAACAGTTCAACCATCAAACTTAAATATTTACTGCAACATCTTGTTTTTAGGTTGGTTTTTTTTTTGCAAACCATTTAAACACAAAGTGTTATGAAATTTGTTTAGACACTGCAGTTAAAGAATGTTAAAGCGTTTCCACAGAATCGCAGAATAAGTTGGATGGTGCCCTTAAGGCCATTGAGACCAAGCCCCGCTCAATGCAGGAATCCAAGTCAAAGCAGAACTGAAAGATGGTTGGTTGTTGTAGGTTTAGAACAGAGTAGAGGGGGTAATTTTTTCTTTTTTACGTACACTGTTTCCTTCCCTCGTTTTACCACTAAAACCTGGATACAGCAACAATTATGACAATAATAATGATATTGAAGACATTGACAAGGGGAAAAAAATCACCACCCACTATTTGTACAGTGCCTTCAGGTGTTCAAAGTGTCACCAAGTGGTCCTGGTACTGAAGGAAAGGGGGCAAAATACTCCAAATCTCCAAGAGCTACTAGAGGACTACAATGTACCCTCCCCAATCCAGTAAGAATATAATTGCAAGGGGAAGACCAGCCTTGCAATCAGCAACAATTAATGTGTCCTCCCAGTACCAGAAATAATGGGGCCCCAACTATTAGGTGCCATGGACCTAGAAGCGTAAAGGAAGAAGAGTCAGGCTTCTGCTCAACACCAGAGGAATTAAGAGTTGTTTGGCCAGTTGCAGCACTTCTGTCCCAGCAAGGGAAGATCTGTCTGCCGTCTTCTGGATATAAATGCCTGCTTATCACTCACCATGTTGTTCTTGTATGATTAAATAGATTTCCATCTTTACTTTTTCTTCAACCCTCTTGTCTAGAACAGAAGAAAGCTATGCTTTTTAAAGATTTATATTTGCAATAAACTGCTGGAAGGTGATTTTTCCACTCTCCCCCCTCCCATATTGCAGATTTAGGGTACTACAGCTGAGAGAGAGAGAGAGTTTTGAGGGAATTATCTATGGCCAGCTATGAAGTTCATAGTAAATGACAGATTGGAACTAGGAGTCTCTATGGCTATAGATTTAATGTGCTCTTCTTTTGCTAATGTGCAAGTCCACTGCAATAACAGTACAAAAAAGTGAATGTTCCAGCAGAAAAAGGAACATATTCATCTTTTGCTGTCTTCTCAGGGAATGAGCCTGACAGCTTGTCATAAAGAAAGTAGCACAACAGTATTGTCAACTCTGTTCTTACTGCCTTTGATCTGGCCTATCCTTGTCCACTTTAACTCAAAAGCTATACAGAGACTGACAAGGAACACTGCTATCAGAAAGCTGTGGGTGACCTTTGTTGTAACAGTAGTTAAAAAAGAAACTGACAACAGGAGGAACATGCACCCGAGTGGCAACTAGACCCATAAAACTGCTGAAAGAGTAAACAGCAGGATGAAACTGAATGAGAATACATATGAAGGTCAAAAAGGAATTAAGAACTTCTGGCCATTCAGAGTATTCTTTAAGACTATGAGCTAAGGCAACAAAGTCCTTCTGTTTCTCAGAAGTTCTTAGCATCCCCAAAGTTAATACATAGTACCTTATATTAGCTAAAATTCTGTTGCACAGTTATGCAAAAGGTGTAACTTTTGGAAGTGCACTACTGTAAGATAAAACACCACTGTAGGCATTGTCTGTCACAGGCCAAGTCATGTGACTATGCCTATGGAGATTTTTTGGTTAGCTTGCAGCATTTACTTCCAAAAGTTAACTACAACAGGATTTCAGCCACTGTCTCCAAGATAAAAACCAAAACACATTTTTCAATTTGTTAGGCACAATGCAAAGAAACAAGACAAAACCATGTGACACCTTCAATACCATTATATTTTATTGTGAGCTTCTATGGAAAATTACCATGGTGTAAATATAGGTAGGAAAATGTCAGTACAAAAACAAGGAAAACACCTAAAGCAATTGCTTGTACTATTGGTAAATACCTGGTACCTAGTAAGTCTCAAGTTACTGCTATTAGTCTCCTCAATCATATTCCAGTGCTCTCTAGTTTTCAGTAGAGACTGGATATAGTTCAGTGAAACAGCCACCAATACACAAGGTTCTCAAACCAGAATGAAAGTATGAGTGAGCTATAGATATATGGTACAAATCAGGCAGGATAATGATGCTCCTTTCTATTTAATAGTCAAAGTGCAACATTCTCCTAAGTCCGACCAGTCCTCACTAGACCATGGGGAGGGGGCAAGACCATAGGGAGGGCCAAGGTGTGTATTTTTCCATTTACAAAATGTGTACTACTGGGATGCATTCCTTGGAAGTCCTATGCGTAAAAACCACTGTCTTATTTGGTATATGGCAAGCTCCTTGGTGCAGTGGCTAAACTGCAGTATTGCAGTCAAGTCTCTGCTCATGACTTGAGTTTGATCCAAATGATTCAGTTAGCTGGCTCAAGATTGACTCACCTTTAATTCCTCTGAGGTTGGTAAAATAAGTACCCATCTCACTGGGGAGAAAAGGTGTATCTTGCATAATTATGCCGTAACCCACATAGTATACAAATTGAAAAACAAACATTTGTTATCTCTGTTCTGCTCCTGATGTGATCAAAAATCCATGTCGCTATATGTCTGTTATATTTCATACCTGAACTTTCAAGAGGCTGCCACCAGATCAAAACTTAAGAATATAAGCATGTACACACAATGATACAGTAGGCATTTTCAAATCTTTTTGTCAAAAGTTCCAACACAAAACTAGTAAGAAAAAAAAGTGAAGAAATACAAATTATTCAAACAGTACATGACTTGTTGGTTGTTGTGGGTTTTTCGTGCTCTTTGGCCGTGTTCTAAAGGTTGTTCTTCCTAACGTTTCGCCAGTCTCTGTGGCCGGCATCTTCAGTGGACAGGAGTCAGAACTCTGTGCTCTGGTGCAGTTTGTATGGATAGTTGAGTATTTATAGCTGTGGGATCAACTTTTCTTCTTTTCAGGAGATGGGTGATTGTGGTGATCAGCATGTTTTATGTTGTGGGTGTATTGTTGTGATAAGCAGGAGAGATTATCTGTCACTGTGATTGATGGTTGTCGTTAACTGGTCTTTTGTGTGCAGTGATCACTGGTCCTTGTAGCTGGGTAGAGTTCATTAACCTTTTGCAGACTGTATTATTCAGTGCTGGGAGCCAGGCTTTGTTGAGTTTTAAACTTTCTTCTTTTTTGTTGAAGCTCTGCTGGTGTTTGTGGATTTCAATGGCTTCCCTGTGCAGTCTAACATAATGATTGCTAGTGTTGTCCAGTACTTACCGTATTTTTCGCTCCATAAGACGCACCTTTCCATAAGACACACCAATTTTTTAGGAGAAGAAAACAGAAAAATATAATCTGTTTTCTTCGCTCCATAAGACGCACAGACTTTCCACCCCCCCGTTTTGTGGGGGAAAAGTGCGTCTTATGGTGCGAAAAAGACGGTAAATATTCTGAAATAGAATTTCATGTCCACCTTGTTTTAGGGCATGTTCATAGCTGATCCCACAGCTATAAATACCCAACTATCCAAACAAACTGCACCAGAGCACAAACAGAGTTCTGACTTCTGTCCTCTGAAGATGCCAGCCACAGAAACTGGTGAAACATTAGGAAGAACAACCTTCAGAACACAGCCAAAGAGCCCCAAAAACCCACAACAACCATCAGATCCCGGCTGTGAAAGCCTTCGAGAATACAGTACATGACTTACTTGATTGACCGGATGGTGTTTTTCCACAACCACAGAATTCATGGGAGGAGAAACGCCCAACACGTCGAGGTTGCTGTAAATCCGATTCTTTGGTACAACATCTGATCGGCCAGTGATTCTAGCAGTGATTGTCCTTCCTGCCTTCTGCTGTGCTGATGTCACAACCCTAGTCATGGGCTAAGAATCAAGCAAAATATGGATTCTAATTATGTATTCTAAAGTCAGCTTCAGTTTACCAACTATGTTTATCTGTTCTACGTAAATATGACTACTCCCTAGCTTAATCTCCAGGATATATGAATAGGTTCCCAAACTTTTTTGCCCCATAGACCACTTGTCGACTTGTTTTCCATAGACCCCCTGCCCCCTGCAAAGCTTTGATACAAGTCTAAACTTGCACCCCTTATTTTTTTTCTGACGTGGACCCTCTGCAAGTCGAAATCGACCCCTGGGGGTCTATATAGACCACTTTGGGAACATATGTCACTAAAGCTTCCTCACCCTGATGGCATGTGTCTGGATCACTAAAGCTTCCTCACCCTGATGGCATGAATACTTACATAGATGTGGTGTTATCTTCCATGTACTCTCTGCAACTATGCTACCTACGAACACAGCCCCACATATGGATTATGGTTTCGCACCATCAACAAATGTTAAAAACAACAATAAACCAATGTGGATGGTATCTTGCAGACCATAGATTCTGTTCCCATGTAGGCAGGGGATATTAACTGCTGGAATTGCACTGAAGTTTTGCTTTTGAAAACATCTAAGCCAGAAGGGGAACTGGAGGACAAGAATGTGCCTTGAATCCTTTCTATGTCCAGAACAAAGTTTTTCTCTGCCGCTGTTGTTCAAGGCACTTTGCAGCTCTTGTTCCTCCATCTGCTTTGGCATCATTTTTGTGTGCGGAAATGTCTTCTCCAGTGATGCCAACAATTTAGATATCATTCATTATGTAATAAGGAACATCATGGTGTTGTGAGAATGTAAGGAACATCATGAGATATGTAAGGAACATTATAGTGAGTTATGCAAAGAAGATGAGTTGCTTTTAGGGGGAGGATTTCCATGACACTTTGCATTTCTCTGCAACCTATATACGAACCCATAAGCAAGTTCAAACATGTTTATGAGTAATCTGGCTATTCTCACCAGATTACTCATAAACAAGTTCAACCCACTCATAAATTCAAACACAGGTTGCAGAAAAAATATGAAATGTCATAGAAATCTTCCCCTTACTTTACGTAAGGAACATCATTGTGTAGTGTTGCCACATAGCCAGTCAGAATTGAGAATACAATTACATCAATGTCTTTTCCTCAATTTAAAATGGTGTGTGGGATGGAGCCATTGCCAAGGAAACCACAGTGCCCCAGCAAGAGGGACATCACTTCTCTTGGTGGCAGTTTCCCTGTTGGACTAGAGAACAAATGATTATCATGGAGTTAGAGGGCATTCTTCCTGCCAGTGACTGTTTCCACATTTCTAAGTCTCCCAGCAAAAAACAAAAATAAAAAATGCTGGAATACCCACTGAATCCTCTACATATAAGAATGTGGATACATTCTGCAGAATTCCAGCTTATTCCCAAGGGGCTTTCATAGGAAATGTTCCCATAGACATTACTAGATGCGCGCGCGCGCACACACACACACACACACACACACACACACACACACACACACACACACAGAGAGAGAGAGAGAGAGGGGGGGAGGATTGTTACCAATTTTGGAATGGACACAGTGCCTGATCCTGTGGCAGTGCCAGAGCCTATTAATACAACAGCTGAATCTAATCTCGTCTGTGAGGTAATTGCATGGCTCTGGTGAGAAGAAAACTGCAAAGCAACAGAAAAAGATGGCAGCATTCAAATGTAAGTTAATTATCAAGTACACATATCACCCATTTCCCAGTCTTAGACATCAAATTTAAGTGTTACCTTGTTCTGCAGAATTAATATCCTAGTACTGCTTGCATAGCATAGTTTCACAGCTCATCCCAACTATTTAAATTAACATTGAGATTACTCTGACAGTCTGTAGGTTTAGAAGCCTCATCTCCCAGTTTCCTCTGCTGTATTTTAATACAGATCTGGGACTGTTCGCTCCTCATCAAGTGAACTTGCTCATGATTGATTATGGTGAACGTTCTGGAACTCACCAGATCTTCTGTGGGAGCAGCACCAGGAGCTGCTGTTGGAGGTGGAGGATGGGGTGGCGGAGGTGGCGGCGAGGAGGAGCTGGATGGTAAAGGCCGATCAAACTGAGATGGAGGGAGTTTCCCTGTAGGGCCACCAGAGCTGGTACTGGGTTCGCCTCTCTTGTCTGACGGATCCACTACTACAAACAAATTAACACAAGAAACATTCAAAATGCTCACATTGAATTGGACTTTTGTATTTAATCAAAAAGGAAAAACGGCTATATGAAGAATGTTAAAAAAAACTACACTGCACAATTTGTGATTCCTTGTTTAGACTTAATAATCTGCGATATTTATTCCCATCAAATTTTAGCCCTGGTCTTGCAACACCACAGCATGAAGGATACACTAATTAGATTATTATACTGTATTGTTTATATAAATGAGGAAATTTTTCCAAATACAGGTAAATCCAGAACTTTAAAAAATCCTAAAAATTAGTCTGACAGATATGTACAGCCTACATCAGTGGTCCCCAAGCTTTTTAGCCCCGAGGACCGGATGGGAAAGGCGGGGCACCTCCCTGCACTTGTGCGCATGTGCGCAGGAGCACGCTCGCGCTTGTGCATGTGCGCAAAGGAGCAGGGGCAGTCGTGTGGGGGTGCGCTCTCATGCGCATGCGCAAAGGGCAGCACAGCACTTTAGACAGATATGTACAGCCTACATCAGAGGTCACCAAGCTTTTTAGCCCCGAGGACTGGATGGGGAAGGCGGGGCACCCCCCTGTGCTTGTGCGCATGTGCGAAGGAGCAGGGGCAGTCATGCGGGGGTGCGCTCTCGTGCGCATGCGCAAAGGGCAGCACAGCACTTGTGCAGGCGCTCGGGTCGATGCGCAAAGGGCAGTGTGGCACTGAGGAGGCACTCATGCACATGCACGAGCGCTCACGTGTGCGCAGGCGCAAACAGGCTGTGCGGTGGGAGTGTTGCAGGGGTGGGTGGGGTCTGACTCTGCGGACTGGTCCGGCTCAGGCCATGGACTGGCACGTCTCTGCGGACTGGTCTGTCTCAGGCCACGGACTGGCACCAAGCCGCGGACCGGGGGTTGGGGACCTCTGGCCTACATCATATAGAGGGAATGGGTGGATGGGTAGAGAAGCAGCATATGTGCAAGCCTTGCTCTGTATCTGTTGGTGTCAGATATCTAGTTAGCAGAGGCCCAGTTAGCCTTTTCAAGCATTTTGCTTGGACTATGGAATTCTATTCCCCAATATGAACTTCACTGGGTCCATCTGCAGCATCTTCTGGCTAGTTGTAAATAATTTTTATTTCCCAAAGCCTTCAGGCTTAGTTTACATTTTAATGTCAACTGTCAATATTGTTGTCACTCTCTTTCTAAGCATCCTCCTATATTGGTCTCTTTTGTACAATGTTGGGAGGAGGTATAAGGAGCCTCCCTGAAGAGTGGAGAGAATTGCGATTATACCCAGGCATCTCTTGGGCAACAGAGTGCAGGTGTCTAATTCTTATCCAGAAGTGTTGTGCTGTAAACTTGCTAATGAGCAAAATGATGCAACAGTTCTTTTTAGGACCACAACTCCTACTTTCTATTAATACAGAGGGCATCTCTTAATCTAAAGAGGAACTCTTAGTTTCACTTTGCTGCGAACAGAAATGTGACACCAGAAGTGTGACACCAGTCTGAAGTGGACGTGTCCACAAAAGCTCACATTAAAATATAGCAGTTAGTCTTTAAGGTACTACAATGATTTTGAGTTCTTTATTTTTTGTTTTTGTCTGACATCAATTTATAAATCGCCTAATTACCATTCTTCTTTAAGAAGCCATCTAATATGGAAAACCAAAACACTCTTTTATACTTGGAAAAGTTTACAATAGTGCTAGATGCAGCTGTGCTTCAGACTGCCCAGGGAACTATGATCAATTTGTAACTTCCATTTTGGAATGTTCTCCTGCCTCCATTGCAAGAGGGTGCCAGATCAACTACATCCCAAGTCTTACTTCAGAAACTCATGCCAAACACTTAGATTATAGTTTGCACTTCAAAGAAGATCCTTTTAGTGAACATATAATAAAAGTTGGGAGAAATTTGATCTCAACTTTTACAGAAACAAAAAGAACTCACTGGATAGACATTATAACAGAGCTTGACATGGCAGGAAACAGCTAGAAAGCTTGGAGACTACTAAAAAGGCTGAACAACAATCCAAACAAAAGAACACTGTGTGCAAATATAACCTCCCAATCAAACAGCACACCCTAACTGCTCCTGCCAGGGAAGACCAACCAATAAAAAAATAAAATAAAATATCAAAGAGATATTCAGAGTGAATCCAATGAGTTTTCAATTGCCTTCATATTGGTGGAACTAGAGGAAACCCTAAGAAGATGTAGAAATGGTAAAGTGGCAGGATACAACAATATATGAATCAAGCAAATTAAACATTTTGGGCAAAACACAATGGTTCCTTCAACTCTTTAATAACTGTTGGACAAGCAAACAAATTAAAAATATAGAAGAAAATGAAAGTAATCACTTTACTGAAACTAAACAACCACCAACCCCCCCCCCCAAGCTACAGGCTAATTTCCCTACTATGCTACTTATACAAAGTGTTTGAACAAATGATACTAAAATGTCTAGCCCCTAAGACTGAACCTCTTCTAATTCCAGAAGAGGCAGGCTTTAGATCTAGCAAGAACTGTACAGCTCAAATCTTAAATTGATCCCAGCATGAATATGATTTTGAAACACAAAACAACGGGAACAGTCAATCTTACAGCAGCATATGATGCTGTCCACCATCAACTGCTGCTCAAAAAGATCTATGTCTTTATTAAATGTCATGGACTAACAGAAATGGCTGCTGTTTTACTTCAAAACCCAAGATTCGTTGTTGAATTTCAAGGGAGCCATAGTCACTGAAGAAATCAAAGGAACAGTCTCCCACAGGATAAAATCCTGGCACCAGTATTTTTTAACATTTACATAAATGATCAGCCAAAATCCCTATACTCCAGGAATGTCATCTACGCTGATGATCTTGCCTTGACAGTCCTGAGGGAAATCTTTGAGGTCACTGAACACCAGCTAACGTCTGCATTTTCACTAGAACTAGAGACCTTGTAGGAGATAAAATATACTTGCTCTACCCAAAGCATATGCCTGAATCAACTCTTCTTCTTGAAAAATACCTCCTTCAAAAGCTGCATTTTTCATCCCACATGTAAAAATCAATTCATACTGTACCCAAGAAAATCAACACTTTGGTGAGGGCTGAATTTCTGTTTTTTAAAAAATGGACATGTGCATAAGAGAAACTCCTCTTCAAGTTTAGCCATATGCCTTCCTACAAGTAAGCTTCCTGTTATGGAATGTTACGGATTCCCCCTCCCCCGAGAATTGTTCTTATTCCTTTGCCAATTGTGGCATATGCTCAGAGCAAGCAGGCAAAGTTGCCACATGACTGTCATAATATATGAATGAAACAGCTCAGACATAAGCGTAGAAAGAGGGCACACTCATTTCCCAGTTATCCTTGAACTGGGTTGGCATAGAGCATTCTACAGAACTTGAGTGCCATCCTGTGGTAAATCAGCTACTTCAGATTTTTTTTTAAAAAAAATAATATTTTTTCCAGATATCCAGGCTACACAGAGAGCAATCCTTAAAAAACAAATGACAGATTCTCTCATAAAGGTAGTTAACAGCAACATATGACAGAACAAGAAAAGTAGAAGCTGCCTAATGATACAGGGACAAGAATGGCCTTGGCAACATTCTTCTAATACTATTCAGGGCTCCTGTACGTGCTCTGCATCAACCAAATACTACGGGTGGGAGGAACTGGGCTTTCTTCTATTTTGAGAACAGTAGTTAAGATCAGCACCAGGACTGGGCAGACATATTTCTGCACATAAACACATACAGTCTGATTTTCAATTAATCTGGGAAAGCTGATTGAAAAAAAAAATCATAGTAAACCCTCAAGGAATGTTTGAAACAAAGAGCACTTCTCACTGGCCTTTTACAGATTCAAAATTCCTCCTTCCCCCAGATGTTCTGATTGGCTCCTGACAGCCCTTGCAATGCAATTGGACGAAGAATTTCTCTGGTGCCTTGACAGACAAAAGGTGAAAGGGTGCAGAAATGTTACACAAAAGAGGGAATATGAAAGAAACACAAAACTTTTATACACCCTTCTTTTGTAAACATGATCATTCATGTTTTAGAGGCTGTTTTTCAGCAATCAGCAAAAGAACATGAAATATGTCTTTTGTTCAAACATGAAAGGTCTGTCTCTCATCCACAGCGTTTCAGTGAACACAGGTTTCTTCATTTAACTGGTTTCAGTTCATACCCTGTTTCCCTGAAAATAAGACCTAACCTGAAAACAAGCCCTAATAGGATTTTCCAGGATGCTCATAATATAAGCCCTACCCCCAAAATAAGTCCCAATCAAGTGAAGCCCCACCCTCCACCATTGTGCAGCAACCAGAAGATGACATGACTGTTTTTGAATAAATGTAGATTTGATGTACTGTACATGGAAAAATAAAACATCCCCTGAAAATAAGCCCTAATGCATTTTTGGAGCAAAAATTAATGTAAGACCCTGTCTTATTTTCAGGGAAACAGGGTAGCAAATGTCTTAATGAAACTGGGTCAGCGCTGGATTTTTGTCTTAATTGTTTAGCTGCCAATAGTACTAAATGAGTATCCTGTTTGCAGTTCTGTTTTCCAACCTTGGGTAAACCAGGTGTTCTTTGACTGCAACTCCCCGAAACTCTGCTCAGCTGGTGATAAAGGCTTCTGGGAACTGCAATCCAAGAACACCTGGGTTACCCAAGGTTGGGAACAACAGGTTATCCACCTGTAACTGTAGTTCTTCGAGTGGACCTCTGTCACACCCTGGGTGATTAGCGCCTGTGCAGAGCCTCATCGGAAGATTCTAGAGCTTCTGCGGTAGCAATGAACACATTAGAATATGCCCCTCCCCACCTCTATAAGTACCTTGGCGTCGTATAAGTATAAGCGTCCCCTTTCAGTTGTGTCAACCACTGCTTAATAGTAAGCAAACAATGGTGTGACAAAGGGGAGGACAGGCGGGATGTGTGAATCACAGAATTCCACTTGAAGAACTACAATTACAGGTGGGTAACCTGTGGATGCTCTTCGTTGGCTGTCTTTATTTGGTGGTATGAGAGATTGTTGGTGTCAAGATCTTGATTGAGAGGCTTCAACAAATATAGAATTTGGAGCTGGTTGTTTCTGGAGGAAAACGGCTCCTGGGTCATGGATTCTATAGAGGTTATCAATCTGCTTAGACACGGTATCCTCTAAAGCTGGTTTTGTCCAGATCTCTGCACAGTACCTATGAGAGATGGTAACGTCAATATGTGCACCAGAGTGGCTGTATTTTTTGAGATCCATATAGATGATCGGCTAATTCTTATGGGAATCATAAGTTGGGCATAGGTCTGGAAATCCTCTGCCAGTGATGGCGGGTTGGTATCAACAATGTCCGACTCTGGAGAGGTAAGTAACACCAACTGAATCTGCGGCCAAGATCCATGGTCAAAGCCATCGAGGTCGTGTCTGGATTCGATGGACTGTCGATTGACTTCAGTGTCAAGAGGCTGAGTCTCGTAGTATTGCCGGAAAAGATGGAGGCGGCATGCCTATGGATATCTGTCAATGTCAAGGATTGTCGACATCAAAAGATGGTGGTTGAGCATCGACAGACCTTGATTAGTAGGGATGGACCTCGGTGTCGAGCTTAGTGTCGTAACAGTCCCAGGGTCGATGACTTGGATTTACGGGAGGACAGGAACTGTGTTGATGTAACGGAATGGAACGAGTGTCCATGGACGAGGATGAATATTGAGGATCGTCAATATCAGAGCCTGTCTCTGCGATGTCAAAACGGAGGATGCTCATGCAATGGCGTAACAGTAGAATAAATTGACGCTGGCAATGCCAAGTGTGAAGAGTGATTTCCGCCATCTATTGTAGTAGGAAAATATCAGGAGGCTGGGGCTGCAAAAGCCTCATGTGTGGATGAAATCTGCTCAACCATCCGAGGTATTTTCTATACCAAGTGGGGAGCAGGTTGAGGTATAGTCACCTCTCGGTGATGTGGCCGCTTCGACACCGATGATTGTCAAGAGGTAGGCCGACTATTAAATGGTATTATCAAACCGGATAAAACACCTGGTCAACTAGTTAGTGCAGTTTGTCAAGCAGAGCACTGGTCAGGGCAAATGGCAATCCGATGCGCGTGCCAAGCGCATTGAGTTGAATCACACGCGATGAAGCGAGCTGTTGAGATTGTTGATGTTGATGGTCCTGGTTAGGGATTGGTGGGCAATCCGAGGGCATCAAATATGGAACAGTGTTGAAAAACCAATGATGGGGGGGATGCTGTAGCCAGAGGCCAAGCGAGGGGGAAGGATAAAGCTCTAATGATAAAGAGTGTGAGCTAACAGTTTCAAAGAGAAAGATTGATAACAGAAAGGAATCAAGAATAGGCCCTCTTTCTCTTTTACTCACAGAAGCAGAATTTGAGGCTCTCAACGCGGCAGTTGAAAGAAACTGAAAGGGGATGCTTGGCACCAAGGTACTTATACGGGTGTGTTCACACCTACTGCAGAAGCTGTAGAATTTTCTGATGAGGCTCTGCGCAGGCGCAAATCACCCAGGGTGTGATTCAAAGAGGCCATGAAGAAGAACCACTGTTTTACAGTCATAGTACTTTCTAAACAGTTGCAACAAACACAAAAGATTGACATGGCCATCCTCATCATACTAACCATGGTCAAATTTGAACTCTTTGCCCTGAAATATTGTCATTGCTTCCATATTCAGTGCACAGACCCCACGCATGAATGCCTTCTTCATGGCATCTTCATAATCGTGCTTTTTGTTCTGCATTTCTATGATCTCTGCCCTTGCCTCTTCCAGTGCAGCATTCAACTAACAAGGAGATAAAAGAACACTTAATAAAAAGCATTGACCACTTAACATATTTATTTATTTCCAAAGAAAGACTGAGATTGAAAGTGTTCTTCAGGTTACTGGCCACTTTCAGGCAAATATATGCACAACCAACATATACTGTATTTTTCCCGGTATACGACCCCCCAATGTATACGACGACCCCCTAATTTTGACCCTTGCCGGAGGCAGAAGAGCAGTCAATGGGCAGCCATGAGGGATGGCCCAGCACCACTGCTCCTCCACCTCCATCTCCTGCCACCACCACTGCCCAACCGCCTCCTCCAGTTTACCGCTGCTCCTCCACCTCCATCTCCTACTGCCACCACTGCCCAACCGCCTCCTCCAGTTTGACTGCTGGGGCTCACCTCCAGCTCACGTTGCCGCCTTGTCCCCTGCCTGAAGGCAGCCCACAAGTGGCGCTTGAGGAGGCGATCCGGCGACAGCAGTCAATGGGGAGCAGTGAGGGGCGGCCAAGTGTGGCTGCTCCTTTGTCTCCTTCTCCGCCTTCTGCTGCTTAAGCCGCCAAATCACCTCCTCCAGCGCCACTCGTGGCCTCCCTTTGGGCAGGGGACAAGGCCGCAATGTGAACTGGAGGTGAGCCCCGGCAATGGCACTGGAGGAGGTGATCGGACAGCAAAGGCAGCAGTCAATGGGCAGCCGCAATAGGCGGCCGAGTGCGGCTGCTCCTTTGTCTCTGCCTCCACCTCCTTCCATGTATAAAACGACCCTCATTTTTCCCTCTATTTTAGGAAAAAGTATCTTTTTATACACTGAAAAATACGGTAACTACAATACGGCTCTATTTGGAAACAACAGTCAGGGGAGGGATACAATTTACCTCGCTAGGCCAAGCTTTAAGAACCACTTGAAAACACACCTCGGATAGTACAGGAGCAACATGAAGCTGTTCCTCAGTGAGATGAGTTTAGCTGAGTTACACAGGACAAAGTTTTGAACTGTCACTTGAAGGAATTAGAAGTCAACAAATTAGCTGGTATCTGAGCTGACTGAGAACATTTCAGCATAACAAAATGTGCTCTTCGTTATGAGCACTCATTTTGGTGCGTTTCTACTTCATACGAGATCATGCCTTCCTACCTGTCCACTGTCCTACCTCCAACATCTCTAACCACCCATCCATTCAACTTCTAAATAGCAGTGTGTGGGGATTTTGGAGTTTAGAGCTCCATCTTGAAATCCCCACAGCAGTGTACAATGAAACGTTTAATGCACAAAGACCCAAAGTAGGATACCGTAACCAAGGTTCAAACCTACAAATACCAGATTTAATTAGTCCATGTACTAGATGTCTCGCTGGACAAGTGTATTTTGACTGTGAAGTCAAATATCCCATCTCATTCCCACATCACATGTATGGATAAGACAAGAGTCATATAAATCAACGTAGGGAACAGTCCTAGAATATCTCCATTGAAAATTGTCATTCTATTATTTTCCTCTCCGCATATCCCTCCACTTGTATACTAGGCAAGGGTCCAATATTTCTTTTCTACATTATTTTTACATACCTTCTTGCTATTCACCTTAAAATTTTCTGATAAGGTTTAATTTTACTGCATTTTAATTGCCTACACCATTTGTACAGACTCCGTGGAACGCTCTTTTACTGTGGGCACATCCCTTTTACAGCCCTTTCATTTTTTTAAATTATTCATAATGATTACTTAAATCTCTCTTTCCTTGGCTTTTGACAAATTCCAGCTCATCTAATTAATTCAACTTGCTTTGCAGAATGATAGGATGTATTGGGAGGTATTGGGAGGTGTGTGCAGAGGTAGCACTTCACAAATGTAATAGGATGTACTGGGAGGTGTGTGCAGATGTACTGGGAGGTGTGTGCAGAGCACGAGAAACAAACACAAAATCTCAACACAGAAGACTGAGATCTGGTAGAATGAGACTAGTGACTGCAGTGCTATGATTGAAGGGTTTAACTTATTTGAAAAAAAACAGATTGAACAGCAAGCGCAAAGGAGTATCATTATAAGTAAACAACGTGTACAGCTGTGAGGAGATCCACAAGCTAGAGCAGAAAGTGCTAACGGAGAACATTTGGGTAAAACCGTGACAAGGCAAGAGTGAGGATCTGGATGATGTTTTTTCTAGAAGATTACCAAAGATTCAAAGAGGAGAAGTAACTGAAGACATATTATACATATACCTGTTAGAAGCCCAAATCTACCAAGAGGTCTAAGAAACTCCTTACTTGCCTTGCCAACAATTTCATCTTCCAAAAGATGGAAAAAATGACAAAATGGTGAGCTATTCTGGACCTGGTCCTTAGCAACAGGGAAAAACTAATCAGTGAGATGAAAGTGGTGGGAACTTCAGTGGCCATGCCCTCTTAGATTTGTTACGATCAGGCAACAGAACATTCAGAATAACATAACATCTACTCAGGACTTTATGAAATCTGATCTCAGCCTGTTTAAGGCTGAATCACATGATCAAAAGTTTTCAAGGAGAAGGGAGTGTTCTTAAAAGTGACATACTGGTAACACAACCATAATCAATTCCTAAGAGGAAGAAAAGTGGAAGACATGTAAAGAAACTGGGGTGGCTAAATAAAGAGCTTTCAGATGTACTAAGATTTGAAAGGGTAAACAGAAGATGGAGAGGGGGGTGCATCACGAAGGAAGAGAACAAACAAGTAACCAATACTTGTAGAGAGAACCTTTTGAGCCTTAGCCTTCCTAAGGAGCTCAGGCTTACAAGAGACAGTGTGTGGGTTTTTTCCAGTTATGCTTGAAACAAGAGGAAAAACAAGGGAACAATAGCAGGCCTGCTGCTTGAAGAGTGACAGAAAACAAGCAGAACTGCTGAATGCTTATTTTGCCTCTGTCTTATGCAAAAAAGGAAAACAGTGTTCAATTTGGTGCATGGAGACTAAAGCTGGCAGTCCTGTCCATGGGTATTCAACTTGGTGCACGGAGACTAAAGCTGGCAGTCCTGTCCATGGTAAGAGGTGACATGGGAACACCTAGGTAAAGGTAAAGGTTCACCTTGACAATTTTTGTCCAGTCGTGTTCGATTCTAGGGGGTAGTGCTCATCCCCTTTTCCAAGCCATAGAGCCAGCGTTTGTCCAAGGACAATCTTCCGAGGTCACATGACCAGTGTGACTTAGACACGGAGCACTGTTACCTTCCCACCGAGGTGGTCCCTATTTATCTACTCGCATTTGCATGCTTTCGAACTGCTAGGTTGGCGGGAGCTGGGACAAGCGACGGGCGCTCACTCCGTCACGTGGATTCGATCTTACAGCTGAAGATCTATAGACCTTGCAGCACAGAGTCTTCTGTGGTTTAGTTAACCCGCAGCACCACCACATCCCTGGTATGGGAGGAACACCTAGCTGTTTTAAATGAATTCTTATCTGCAGGAACAGATATGACGGGTGGTAGAGGAATCTCAGATGTAATCTCAGAGTCTTTGTCTACAGCCTGAGGTTTCTTGGAGAATATGTAAGGCCCCTGAAGACCAGAGGTAGGCAAACGTCATTCAGATCTATTCCAATGGGCAAAATGTTGGCTAGGTGATGCTTCTTTTGAGTGGATTTGCAGCTGGTTGATAGATCCTACCCGAAGAACACTCACCAATGATTCCTTGTCATCTTGGAGAGAACTGAAAAGGGGGGTGCTACACAGTTCTATTCTGGGCTCAGTGTTGTTCAATATGTTTACAAATGACTTGGATGAGGGGATGCACATCAAAATTGCAGATGATACCAAACTGGGAGAGGGCTGCTAATGCTTCAAAAGACAGAATAAGGATTCAGTATGACTTTAACAGACTAGAAGAGCTGGGCCCAAAGGAACAAAATGAGTTTATATAGGGGAATATGTAGAAGTCTAAATCTGGGCAGGAAAAATCAGGCACAGAAATATAGCAGGGGTAACAGTTGACTTGGCAGTAGTACCTGTGAAAAGGATCTAGAGATTTCAGTAGAACAAATGCTAAACGAGACTCAACTGTCTGACGCAGTAGCAAAAACGAAAAGAAACAAATGCAAAAAACAAAAAAGGGAGTTATAATTTAATTTTAGAACTGCTGAGCTGTAAAGGACTCTATGATCATCAAGTTCAGCCCCTGACATAATAGCACAGTGGAGAATTGAACTCCCAATCTCTGACTCCACAGCCAAATACCTAAGCCACTGAGCTACCACCAATTTGCTATTATACTGTGTTGAATGAACTAGGGCGTCCAGCTCAAGGGAAGTAAAAGAACAACCTCTTTCAGCTTTGCTCAAAATGCATCTGGAAAAACTGTGCCTATTCCGGCCCTCACAACAATTTAAAGAAAGGATATCGGCAAGCTGGAATGAGTCTAGAGGAGGACTAACAGGCGATAAAAGTTCTTGAAACTGAGCCTTATGAAAAAGTGAAGGGTATGTTTAGCCTGCAAAAGAGAAGGCTGTCACATTGAAAATCTTTCAATATTTGAATGGCTGTCACTTTGAAGATGGAGCTAGCTGGATCCAAAATAATGGATCAAATATCAAGAAAAGGGGTTTCCATTAGAAAGAACTTGCTTGAAGGAAGAGTTGTTTGACAATGGAAGGGAAGACCTCAGAATGTGGACAGACATGTGTCAGAGATGCCTTAGGCGGCGGACTGCTCCTTTCATAAAGAATTGGGCTTGATGCATGGGAACCCTTCCAGTTCTACAATTCTATGATTTTATAAAAAATCCTTAATCACACTAAGTCCATTTTTCAAAAATTAAGTACTTTTATGCTTGTGGAAGCCCTAATGAAATCCAAGTGTGCTGACCAATTAATATTTGATGCTAGGCTACCACTGTGTTGCTTGTAAAAACACTTTAACCCTCAAAGTAAACATTCACCAAACAGGACAGATAATACTTCCTACTCTACCAGGAAAAAAATGTCCCTTTAATATATTCAGCAGCAAACAGAAATGTTCTTACCTCCTGAAGTTTAGTTTCATAGTCATTGGATAACTCGACACGTACAGATTCAGCACTTGACTGACAGGCTCTTTCTAATGTATCTTTCCATTTTATATGAATGCGAGAGCGCCAGACCACCCATGCTTTTTTCAACAAAGCCATTTCATAAAGCCGGTCAGCCAGCCTTTTTGTATATACCTGGAATAACATATCAATATATTAGCTCTATATATTCAATAGTTCTCAAAGGAGAGCTCCAGCCTTGTTGTAATTACACTTCACTAGCATCCTTCCAAAACTGTAATGCAAAGAGGTGTGGTGTATCAGGCCATCTATGTAACACATAAAGCTGTTCAGCACGTACAGTATAACACATTCAATGCATACAGCCTAAGTCAAACTAACCCCAAGATTTTAATCCACATCAGATATATTAAACTTCATACCACGACCTCTACTTGCCACTCCAAAGAGGCTTGCTATAAACAAACAACAGAATGTATTTATCACTTCCATGAGTATGACTTCAGGGGGATGGGACCCAAACATGGGTTGCTAGTTCAAAACAGCACCTTTGGATCGATCTCACATGTCAAGCTCAGTTAGCTACTTCATGGGGAACAGCCGGCAGGCTTTCAAACAGCCATACTAAAAACTGTTGAACTGATCAGCTTCTGTGCATATTTCATGTTGGTTTAAATCAGGGATTTTTAAAAATTAAGCAGTTGGGTTTTGAGAAGTTTCATCGCAGTCTCAATCCTTTGAAATTCAAATTAATCGCAAGTAATCATGGTTACCTCATGTCTGGCTTCTTGTCTCCCTAAAATATGCTGAAGGCGCCACTTTGTGAATTTCTTCATTAGCTCTATCCTATCCTTCTGTTTCTCTATAGCATGTGTCAAATTTGCTATCACCTAAAAAAAGAAAAGAAAATGCAATGATGTCAAGAACTATACAATAATTTACTTTTAATGACCCAATTAAATTAAATTAAACATGCAGACCACAACTGGAGAATCTTTAGCATGCTAAATACTGGACTACATCTCCCATCTTCCCTGTCTACTGACTATGTAAGTGGTGGAAACTGGAGCTCAACAGGGAGATGGACACAGATTCTCCAATTCTGACAGCTAGGCAACTAATATGTTTCCTAATGTATTCCTGAAATTACCTTTCACAACAGACATTACACTGGACATTTGATTCACATCCCATTCCCTTATGAGGGATAATGTAATGAGGCGAAGGAACACAATGACAGTGGCATAAGTGTATGATAAGAAAAATGTAAGGTAAACAGGAAGTTATCCATACCATTAAATCAGATGCTTGTTCTTCCTTGTATTTATCAAAGTCACTGAAACCGAAATAATTCCTAATGCTAAAGAATAAAGAAATTTTTTGCACCACAGGAATTATGATAATAGATGAGCAGAGCATATTACCTCGTCCTTCCTCCCTATTGAAATTTCATAAGTATGTAGCAGCTCTTTCAAGTTTTCCATTTGATTAGTCAATTGTCTGACATGAGCCGCATGTTTTTCCCTTTCTTGTCTCATTTCTAGTGTGTGATGCTCAATAAAATGAAGCTTCCATTTCCTCAGTTCTGTGAGAACATTGGTCTGGAAAATTAAAGGCATAGACTTAATGAAGAAACATCCCTACCCCACCAAAACACAAAAAGTTTAAGTACAATACACTAAAAGCAGGTTCACAAGTTCCCCAAAGAATTTTTAGTGGATTGTTAGTATTGCCTCATGATGCAGTGGTTAAACAGCAGTACCATGGTGAAAACTCTGCTCGTGACCTGAGTTTGATCCTGGGCTCAGCCTTCTATCCTTCCAAGGTCGGTAAATTGAGCACCAAGCTTTTTTTTGGGGGGGGGGAGGGTAATTGTAAACCACCCAGAGAATGCTTTAAGTATTACGGGGCAGTATCAAAGGATTTGCATTTTGCTTTTGCATTAAATGGCATAATAAACTGAGGCAGAAGTGCAATATAAAATTCTTCCCCTTTGGACAAGTGTTTATAGAATTGGATAATAAGCCTGTACATATTCCCAAAGCTTGGAAAAATTATTTTTCTCACAGTGGTTGCAGAAGTCTAGTAGCCATGGTCCAAATATGTTAACTTTTCCAAGTTCTGTACATACTAGCGCCCACACATTGCGCCCTTAACAACATGGCATTTAGGTGGCTGCTTTGTATGAAAGTGTGTGGGGGGGAGGAGAAAGATCTGGTTGGCTACATCAGTGGTTCTTAACCTTGGGTTAACTCAGGTGTTTTTGGACAGCAACTCCCAGAAGCCTTCACCACCAGCTGTGCTGGCTGGGGTTTCTGGGAGTTGCAGTTCAAAAATACTTGCGTTACCCAAGGTTAAGAACCACTGGGCTACATGATGGCCACAGCTCTCTTGCTAAGAAAAAGGAGGACAGCCCACTTTATTTCTCTTTAAAGGAAGCAAATGAGGTATTCAACCTATTACATTCCACTTTGTATCACAAACTGGCAACACCTGAATTCATTAGTTTCCATAAAATACACACACAAAAGTACAGTACTTGGAATTGATCATTTTAAAAACTATGAGCCACTTTACCAGTAAACATAGGGCTGGCCAAGGAAGTATTTTAGCATCTTTAAAATGAAATACGCCCTCTCATATCATCTTCTAGAACTAGGAGCGGGGGAGTATTTCCCAGGGCCCCCTGGGCCATTTCTGCCGTTCCAGAGCTCCTCAGATGACCTTTCACAGCAATTATAAGAAAGAAAGAAAAGAACACTGATGTTCCCATTCTTAGAGGTCTCTAGAAGCAGCAGCTTTTGCTTTTAGCCAGAGGGGTTCCCCAGAATTGATTAATCAAAAGAAGAATTGCCATCCATGTACTTCCAGTATTCAGTGTTTTTATTTTCAGTCATTTCTGGCAATTTCTAGGAAAGTGGAATGTGAAAGCCCATCAAATATGCCTATCTGAGCCTTGGAACAAGAAAACAAACCCCATACCTTTCCTAATGCTTCCTGCTGTAACTGCTTGTCAGAAAAAATGTCTAACTGTTATTTCTATATAGAAATGTTCTCTAATTGGGCTCTTCTATTGAGAAGAACCTGCTGTGATAACTCTTTCTGTTTGAACTCATGGGACTCTTCTAAAGAACTAAATGAAATGGACTATTTATTTATTTATTTATTTATTTATATATTTATTTATTTATTTGATTTATACCCTGCCTATCTGGTCTACTCGACCACTCTAGGCAGCTTCCAGTATAGGATAAAACAATAAAACACAAGAACATTACATAATCATTTGATACAGTTATAATAAAATAGAGTGAGAATAAAATAAGAAGGAATAGAAAAGAAATCAGGTATTGACTGGAGGGAAGGCCTGGATGTACAACCATGTTTTTAATTGGGTTTAAAAAGACTAGTCTGTAGGGGCCAGTATCAGGGAGAACATGGTGAAAATTTAATTCAGTTTTTAATTCTTCTACTGTAGGAGTACCAATGAAACAAGATTGTTCAAACATCAACCTTTTCCAGGGCTTTCTAGCTATATTTTCTCTGCCGTTACTTGAGTTCAAAGTGCGGGCAAGTTTGGTTTATGAGAATTAAAACAGGGTACCAGAGCTGGCCCTACCATTAGGAAGAGTGACAGAGACATTTTAGATAGGCAGATGTTGGAAAACAGGGCAGGAGCAAGATATGGGAGACAATAGTGGTGTGTGGATACAGCTGGCCCTTGTAACCCGTGAGCTAGCCTGGTATCCTCAGGTATGGTGGGGGATGCCTTTTCATCTCTTGTGTTTAAGGTTCAACTGCCAGTCTGGTGAACTTTTATCCAGGACCTGGGAACAGGCACCATCTTGAGCCAAACCTGCAGAAAAACAGTCCCTACTTCTTTTATGCAGCCTTATCCAAAATACTATATTTACTCCGCCCATACCTAGTGGGACTTGCAGCCTTAGGGTCTGTAACTCTGCATTATGTACAACAAGTTACAGCACCAACAATCCTTTAAAAAATCAAACAGAAAAGCAATCTCAGGAGCTTAGAAACCTAAGGTAGGAAATGGTGAGGAGATTTGCTTTCCAGCATCTGAAACCCCTCATAAGAACAGCTTGGAATGGCTAACGTAAAACACAAAAGCAGCGTGCAGGGAAAGGATAGCTCTCTCTTCAGTCTACCGACACTAATATCAAAAGTATTTAGTTTTGTTTACACACAGAAGGATGCACATAATTGACAATAAGAGTATTATTTCATGTTACAATGTCAAACTGAAACACTGAACAAAGTAACAATGAGGTTAAGTCTTGAAAAACAGGGCAGTCTCTTTCTCCAAAACAGCACAGAATCATCTTTTTAACTTTGCCTTATTTTGCCAAAGCACTTAGTGCATTTCCTACAGGCATTTTGCCTCAGGTTCTTCAAAGATGCTACAATACAGAAAGCTATCAGCAAAATAATTTTATTATGGGCACAAAAGAGAGAGAGAGACAGAATACCTTAAGACTTCCACTCCAGAGATCAAGGATGCTCTCTATCTGGGTCACTCTTTCATCTGAAAGGCTTAAATCGGTCACATTTGACTCCTGAAGATCTTGTTGACTAGATGAGGACCCTTGAGAAGAACTTTCTTCCAAACGGACAGGGCAAAGTCCTTCCATGTCTGTATGAGCTGGCTCCTTTACTGATGCTGAAACTAAAAAATAAGATGCTAATTGGCTCTCAGATATAAGATTACCGAATATATATCATAAACTGTGTTGAACTGAACGGGTACAAATCAAAAGCAAATTATTTAAAAACTAAAGTTGCCTCCCCCCCCCCGATTAAGCAACAACAACATCTGGTTTTGTGACATCTTTAAGATTAACAAATTTCATTTGGCAGAGCCCCCTTCATCAGATACCTGCAGCAAAATATTGCAGCAACAGGTTTATAAGTACACTGGCTTTCATTCTGGGAGTCTTTGCTATCCTTCTGCAAGCAGGCAAAGACTTTTCTCTTCAGGCAAGCTTTCCCTGAGTGAATGGAGGCCAAGTGAGGTTTTAAAAATGGATAGTTGTACCTTTCTATGTGTTTTGGTGTTGCTTAGTTGTTGTTTTTTGTTTTTTTTTGCTATTCTATTCGTTGATCATTTTAGTATTGTATACTCACTGTTATTAGCTTAAATACTGTCTTTTAATTGTTGGAAGCCTCAGGTCCTTTTTAAGGAGAAAGGCGGGTTAAAAGTATTTTAATAAATAAATTAAATAAAATGTATGAAAAAAATTTACAAAATTTAGGTTCAACTTGCAGCCAGAGAATCGACCTACATACCAGAAAAAACCCAAAATGGAACAAAAATGGAACAAAAATGGCCGGTTACGGCATTAATCGGTTTTCAATGCATTGTAGGTCAATGGAGACTCGACTTACAGACTTTTCGACTTGCAGCCACCATTCCAATACGGATTAATTCCGTAAGTAGAGGGTCCACTGTACTCACTGTTATTAGCTTAAATACCGTCTTTTAATTGTTGGAAGCCTCAGGTCCTTTTTAAGGAGAAAGGCGGGTTAAAAGTATTTTAATAAATAAATTAAATAAAATGTATGAAAAAAATTAAAACTGTATTTTAATAATCTTAAAGGACGAGTACATCTATTATCCACAGGTTTTCATGCACTATAGTGCAGTCCACTTTGCAAAATATTGGAACAGCATTTGTCTTTAAGATATTAGAACCTTTCTGTGATGACTCTCATTCCAAGATGAAGTAAAAGATCTGCTTATCACAGGAAAATATAACCCACAGCCCTATTCTGTGTAAGAATCACTTCTCATGCATCTCTAGACAATGGCCATTAGACATGTTCTGCAAACATGTACACTATTCAGATGATGTGCAAGACATCTAGCCTAAGTAGGGGACAGCATTATAGACATAGAAAATATGCACACATGCTTGTAGGGGGGAGAGAGTGAGAGAATGAGAAAGGGGGGTCAATTTAAGCTTCAAATATCCAGGACACCCTTTGGCTCACCTTTGCCAGACACCACACCTTAACTTCCCTGCAACATTTTTTGGTTCTTGGTGATGTGCAAACTACAGAATTCCTTGATGTATTAAACTGAAACCTAACACAAATATTCTAGCAGTAAATATACAAACCAACACCCTATACCTCATCTCAGTAGTTATACCTTCTATTCTGGTTGTTCGAGTAGATGTTGGAAAATCAGGCTTTCTTCCATGTTTCCTCCAATTTACACCTCCTGTTTCATGTCTGCGTTCATCCATTACTGGACTTTTTCCTGATTCAAATATATGGAAGGACTAGATTTAGACTTGCTAGCATAAATTTCTTCAGATTTCTGCACTTTAGATATTACTGATAAAGTTCTTAGATTCCTGTATTGGAGGTAGTAACTAGTAAACTTTGCATGGATTAAGTCCATCTCTAACAGCTGCAAAAATTAGATCAAATGCAAGCTAGAAGAGAATCATGACCTCAGGAAAATGGCCTCCTATGCTTGGGAAAAAGGAGATGGTAAGAACTTGAAAAGTTATTTTTTTGGTACTAAAACTCCCAGAATACCTCAGTCAGAACATGTACTTAACTCTTAGGATTTGTCCAGAAAATAATTTTGTCCAATATCTGAGAAGAAACAAGTAGTGGCACCGCAGACTAGCTGCACCTAAAAGCACACTTATATTAAATCAGTTCCACCAAAAGAAATTGAGCTGGTGTATAATCGAGACCTTCGGGTAGTGTGGGCTGCATATAAGTTAAATAAATAAATAAATAATCATCCTCATCATCTCAGAACTGCAGAGCTGGAAGGGACCCTATGGATCATTGAGTGCAGCCCCTGTAAAACGAGGCACAGCGGAAAAGCAAACTGCCAACCTCTGGCTCTCCAGCCAGAGATCTAAACCACTGAGTGAAGAACAATCTAGATATTTTCTGTAAAGATTCTGCATCCCATAGCCTCCGATTTATTACTGTATAGAGGATTTTACTAAGTACGGTTTGATTTGTGAAAATAAAGTAAATGCTGTTTATTATATTTTAATAGGAAAAGCAAAAGCTCTGTAAATATTAGATATTTTAACAATGTGCTTCATGGAAGTCAGCTTTAAGGTAGATTCACTGAAATATAACAGTTCAATACTAGAAGGCTAGCACCTCAGAAAGAAATGAGGCAAGCATCTGGAGATGATCCAACTGCTGATTAGTATTTTATAGCACAAGTGTTCTACGCATCTAGATTTAATTAACAGTAACTCAGGACAGGAAATTAAATATTAGCATTCAAAGCACCAAAATAGTAGATTTTACAGAGTTGCATACTTTATTCTGATAGGATTTGAAGCTTCTTTATAGGCCTATTCTTTCTTTCTTTCTTTCTTTGTTTAGTAATCAGACTTCTCCTACCAGAGTACATCAGCTCTGACAATTTTCAATGAAGTAGCTGTGTTAACTTGTCTCAGAACATGGTTAAAATTAAGGAAAAAAGGGGGGAATGGGGAGAGAGAGAGAGAAGCCAACATTCTTAACATTTTACAGACTAACAGATTTACTTCACTGTCATTATTTAGGCTGGATTTAACCTATAATGTCCCTAAACAGCTTGGGGCCACGTTATCTCAAAGACCACATCTCTCTTTATGAGCCTACCTGAGTGTTAAGATCATCAGGGGAGGCCTTTCTCTCGATCTCACCTCCCTTGGTAAGGACAAGGGAGAGGGCCTTCTCTGTTGCTGCTCCCAGACGGGAACGCTCTCCCATGGGAGGCCAGGATGGCCTCATCTTTGCTGCTCTTCTGCAAGCAGGCAAAACACTTCAGGCAGGCTTTCCTTTAAATGCCTGGTTTGACCAAGGGGATTTCTTAATAGGAGCATTTTATGCTGTGTTTTACTTGTGTTTATAATATTGTTCGTATGAGTTTTAATATACTTGTTAAATGCTTTTTTAATATTGCAATAATGTATTGTTTGGCTTTTAACTGTGTTTCTTTCAATACTGTAAGCTGCCTTAGATCCTTTGAGAAAAAGGTGACATAGAAATATTTTAAAAGAAAGAACAGAATTACTTTAATGACATAAGCGATATCTATTTATTTTGAACAGTCACATTTTAAGAATATTTTACAACATTTTCTATGCATTTTGTCAGGATTTTTTCAGGTTTTACCAACACTAAGGTTTTTTCTTTTAAAGGTGGTAAGGAAAATGAGTGAAAACTGGAATGCAGCCCAAGCAAATTGCTTGTTCAAAAGTGCAGTAAGGAACAACAGGGAGCTTTTCAAACACTCAAATAAAATAATGGGGACAAAATGCCTTTGAAAAAATAGCTTTCAAGTACTGCCTGAACCTATTATCTGCTTTGACTCCTCAGTCATTATCAAATTGCAAATATGCCAAGCCCAAACTGCAGCATTTTCTTCTAGACAGGCCTAGGATCCCTTTAAAATCTGCTGTCTTATCTGCCATTTCTTCTCCATCCTGAGTGCACCCCTAGCTTGTCCTTCTTCTGTGTATTTGTGTGGATGTATGCACAGTGCTTGTTGGAAATCCCATGACATGGGAACATGTTTGCTCTTCTCAAACTTGACATGTCAACTAATGACCAACATCCATTCTTTCGCTAGCCAGAAATAAAATTCAAAGAGTTTCAAAATGAGAGAGGCAAATTAAAGAAAACTTTTCACACACACACACTGAAGCATGTGCCTCTGCAATATTAACAAAGCTTTTGCTGTAGACTACACAAACATTAAATTTCTGCCACTTCCTTTTTCAAAAGGCATATCCTTTTTCAAATAGGCAGGTTGGCTATTTGATCACTATCCTGCTGATTTCAACCCATCCAGGATTGGGAGATACAGTACTACTGAATGTAGAGTATCTCCACTAGCCAGAAAAGATTGAATTTGGCTCACTACAAAAGTTGTTAGTGAGATTTTAAGCAGGAAAGCTGCCATACCCCAGCCCCATATTTGACCTTCATTTCCAGATTTCAGAGAGCAGAATAAGAAGAAATTCCCCACACTATCTTGTTATATGGAGTGGGACTTCTAATACGACAGAGTGTTATGTTCTGGAAGAGTTTTCTCCCCAATTAGGGTATGAGTCGATCACAGCAGATGATCTTCCAGCTGTTCTAAAAACTGTTTAGAACTCTGGAGTCTTGCAAGTATTTGAATCCCAGCAGTCTTCTCAATGTACTTAAACCGCTGTTAAAAATGCATCTTCAGTATCTTGACCCATGTTTTACTCAGTGACTACCAAAACAATTAATCCCCAAGTGCTTGTCTCTCACGCAGCATACAAGATCTGTAACAACTGTTCACATGGGCAGAGCTGGAGTAAAAACTCAACAATTTGGCCCCATTATCTGAAGGCTATTTAAAATTGTGAAAAGAAGAAAACAGATTTCAGAACTGTTTTCAAATAAATGCAGAATATTCCCATTTAACTCATAATTTACTATTTAAGGTCAAAATCTAAAGGAAAGAAGAATTAGAGTTGGGGAAGCAGATAATCGGCCCGTTTGATGACCTGTTGAGGGAGTCCGATGGGGTAAAATGTCTATCTTGGTCCCCCTCAATATCTCAGCTGCTTTCAATACCGTCGACCACGGTATCCTCCTGGGGAGGCTCTCCAAGTTGGGTATCAGTGGTCTGGCGCTCGCCTGGCTCCAATCCTTCTTGGGGGACCATTCTCAGAGATTACAGCTTGGGGAGAGTGTACTGGCCCCGTGGAGTCTCAATAGTGGGGTTCCACTGGGCTCGATTATCTCACCAATGTTTAATATCTACATGAGGCCGCTGGGTGGGGTCATCAGGGGATGTGGGGATTCGTGTCATTAGTACGCTGACAACACCCAGCTGTACATCTCCTTTTTTCCAACAACAACAGCAGATGCTGTTTCATCCCTTCAGCACTGCCTGGAGTCTGTACTGCAATGGATGCAGGAGAATGGACTGAGGCTGAACCTGGACAAGATGGAAGTCCTGAAGGTGAGTGGTCCCGCCATTGACGGTTTGGAAAACTCCCTCTCTTTTGGGGAAGTGACTCTCACCATGAAGAGTGAGGTTCGTAGCTTGGGGGGTCCATCTGGATCTGGCATTTACCATGGAAACCCAGGTAACGTCAGTGATCAGACAATGAAAAGCTTCCTTTGAAAATTTCAGGATGCATGGACATGCATCCTGAAACAGTCTTTAATCATCAGCAACTCTCCTTTAATCAACAGCAATTTGCACCGCTGATTATGTCATTACAGTACTACTGTGCATGCAGAACTGCACAAAAAGATTTTGGCCAATATGGCAGACCCATAGGAATCTGCTGCCGTAAATCGGGTCAGAATTTTGGCCAATTTAGCCTAGCATGTTTGACACGGACAAGCAGCAGCACTTTAGATCTTTTGGCAGGAATTTTCTCCTGTCTTACGTAGAGATGTTAGGGACTGAATCTGGGACCTTCTGCATACAAAATAGACACCCTACTATTGCTTTGCAGTGACAACTTATACAGAAAGAAAAACACATTGAAGGTTTAGGAAGGGGTGACGCTATAAATTGTTTGAATTTGAGAAGTCTTCTAGCACAGTAAGAACATGGACAAGAACCATGTGATTCTGAAACCCTTTCACCCAGATAAAACACCCATGGCTATATAGCATCCAACAAGGCCCTTATTGTTACGCATAATCCAGAAACAAACCTCCTAGGCATTTAAACATTAAGAAGCATAATAAAGCTCTATTATATACACTTCTCTCTCTCCCTCCGGCTTGCTTTGTGTTTTCCTGGACAGAAATAACCAGTACTTCTTTTTATGCCATCCTAGCTATATTTAAAATGTGCACCAAGAGCAGCAGCCAAAGCCTGACCATGTGACTGCTATTGTGCTCCTGTGTCAAGCTTACAGTAAGCAAAATTCTGTCAATTTGGATAAGCCAGAGTGTATTGCAGTTGGTGAGCTACCTATATACAAATCAAAAGTAATGAAGAATTATTACATTTCTTAGATTTCGTGAAATTCTTTCCATTAAAAATTATCTTAGTTTTGTTTTTGCTTGTCAAGGTAACAAATGTTTGCAATTCTGAATTAACAAAATAAAAACTGGAACTGTACATATATCATGTCTTTGAAGTCCTTGAGAGGTAAAAGGCATTAAGATGAATTAAAATCATTCAACTTTTTCAAAGGAGTAGATACTTACGCAATAGCTATTTTTAGAAAAGCCTCAGGAAATAAAGTGTTACCTAGAAAACAATGACTGAAAGCAAATTTCCAAGGGTCAATTACTCCATCTTTCAAGTAAGTGAAATACTGCAAGGTACCCACTAGGAACACAATGACATGAAGGACGATACATTTCATTAGGCCAGAATTAACTACTTTGTTCAATTATTGTGTAAAAACATAGCACATATTGAAAATAATATATGCTATGAAATCTCCTTGAAGCAAATCTTATAAATTAACACAACATTGTAAATTAGTTGTCATGGTAATGGAAAATTACAAACTATTTCAAAAAGTTGAGGTGAAGAGCAGACAAACAGCTAGGGCATTTCTAGGTAAAGGTTCCCTTTGACATTTTTAGTCCAGTCGTGTCCAACTCTAGGGGACAGTACTCATCCCATTTTCAAGCCATAGAGCCAGCGCTTGTCTGAAGACCGTTTCCGTTGCCACGGTGGCCAGCGTGACTAGGGAACGCTGTTACCTTCCCACCGAGGTGGTACCTATTTATCTACTTGCATTTTTACATGCTTTCGAACTGCTAGGTTGGCGAGGAGCTGGGACAAAGCGAAGGGAGCTCACTCCATCGCGTGGATTCGATTTATGACTGCTGGTCTTCCGACCGTGCAGCACAGAGGCTTCTGCAGTTTAGCCCGCAGCGCCACCACGTCCCTTAGGGCATTCCTAGTGGTACATAAAGCAATCCCAACTTAAACTATGGATTGGGCCATAGTCTATTCCAGTGGTTCCCAATGTTGGATCCCCAGAGGTTCTTGGACTACAACTCCCAGAAATCCTGGCCAGCACAGCCAGTGGTGAAGCTTCTGGGAGTTTTAGTCCAAGAACATCTGGGGACTGAAGGTTGGGAACCATAGGCCTTGTGAGAGAGCATAGACTCTCTGTAGCAGTCTCAGACCTAATTGCAGAAACTGCCAGGTAGCAGAAAGAAATATACAAAATCATGGATAACCACTATCAATTAGTGTAGATCCGGACCCAAGGGCCACATGCAGGGATGGCAATAATCAGAATGGCATCTCAACAGTACATATAGACAGACCCAGAAATGTGTGGGGCCACAGGTCGCCTTTTCACTTTCTCCCCTACAAAGATTCACATGTAAAGCCTCACTTCTCTAACCCACCCAACCTTCCTCCCTCTTTGTCTCTCTGTAACAAATACTAGGGGGAGGGGGAGCTTCATCAGTACAGTGGTGCCCCGCATAGCGAGGTTAATCTGTTCCGGATTAACCATCGCTATGGGGAAACATCGCTAAACGGGACGCAAAATGCCATTGGAACGCATTAAACTTAGTTTAATGCGTTCCAATGGCTTCTGTACTCACCGTTTAGCAAAGTTTCCCCCATCCGGCAGCCATTTTTGCGCCCTTGGTAAGCGAGGGCAGGGCGCAAAAACGCTGCGCGCGGCTATTTTGGGTTGCGCGGCGGCCATTTTGGAGCCGCCAATCAGCTGATTTCCCGACATCGCAATGCGAAGACCGGTAAGCGAAACGCTTACCGATCTTCACAATGCGAGCTTTGCCCACTGGGGCTGCTGGTATGCCTTCGCATTAGCGAACCCAAAAAAGGGATCGCTATGCGAATTTGTCATTGTACGGTGCGCTCGTTATGCGAGGCACCACTGTATCTCTTTCCTTGTATGGAGAAGGCTTTCTTTCCCTTCTTAGGAAGGCAACTGCTGCTCTAACATAACTCTATTCTGTGGCCTTTTTTCTAGTAAGGTTCTTGAAGGGAATTACAGGATGTCTTTTGCCAAAGTAGTCCATTGTATTCCAGTTTTCTTCTCAAGAATAATGTTCTTGAGAGAAACCACAGAGCATAGCAGGCTAGAGTGGCAAAATGATCTTCTGACACTTCATACTCTGTGATGTCATTCTCAATGTTATTGCTAAAGGAAACCACAGAGCTTGATGGGCCAAAGCTGTAAAAAAATAATTTTAGGTCTGAAAAAGAGAGATGCAGCTAGAGAAGTGCAGAGGGGCACTCAGGGGCCATGGGGAAACCCCCGCCCCAAGCCATTGACTCTTTATCTCTTGTGTACTCGACACTGGCATAAATGTACTAACAGCATATTTTGATATAAGGTAGCTTTCTACTTTTTAATCTGCTCTGTTTTGACTAATTGTTTCTTCAACTGCATAGTGGATAAATACAGTTATATAAGAATATATATATGCTCAGTCATGTGATACACAGGTAAACACAACCCATTTCCAAACAAAAGAGACATTATGGAGGATCTTCATTTGAATCAGGGGGAAATGCATTCTTGTACCAGCATCTCTCATTTTGGCAAACTGATGGGTCCCCTCCTTTATGAAACAAAGCGGGCTTCATGCCTTGATAAATTTTGAATTCCGGTTGCAAATTACCTGCAGACTTCTGATGAATATCTGTATGATCTGACGGTCGTAATGTACTTGGCTCAAACTTTGGGGTAACTATAGCATAGCGAAGCAGCTCTTCGTATTCATCCTATCATAAAAGGACCACAAAGATTTATATAACATCTGTTTCCAAGCCAGAATAAGAAAAGAAAGAAATGTAATTCCTCCCATCATACTCTTAGAGGTGCAATCTGCATCACGGAGACACTATACACAGTGATGAAATCATAGGTCTTGAAAGTGTATCTTTTTCAGTGTCATGTACTATTCTGAATTCATAAGCTGAGCTACCAAAGCAAACCAGCTCTTGCAGTCTGTCCTGTATTTTCTGTTTCAGAAACACTCTGAGCATATATTTGCATCACAGTAAACTTGCAGTATTGAGATCATAATAATCTCACTAAATATAGTTATTTGCAACTCATTTGTTGCCTAGTTGAATAGTACAAAATCTCTGCAAACCATTTACAGTAGACTACTTAAAGTTGTGTTGCTCAACTCCATACCCTCAGCAGAGATCAGTCAACCTGAATGCTGTTTTTGCAGCTCTGCAACGGGCCAAGATTGAGGGGATTGGAAACAAGCCTATGGAAAATAGTGATGGCAAAGGGGAACAAGAGATCTGAAAATCATGAGCAAAAACACTTTACATTTCCTCACCTATTGTCATAGAGGAAATAAAATAGCAGTCACCGTGATGAGTGGTAGAGCAAAACAGCAAGGAGGAATTTTGTCAGGAGAGGACAGCACCTCACGAAGGAATCAGCTCACAGCCATCAAAGATCTCCAAAATCATTGCATGCCAATCTCTGCTCATCTCTCTTCATGCACACAGTAGATCCCAAGGTTTTCCTGCTTGCCTCATTTCTCTTATTTTCCATATCCCCCCCCCTTCCATCTCACTTCACGGTTTTTAACATTTGACCATATTCTTACCTACAGCTTTAAAAGGTTTTTAATTCCTCTTCTAGAACTATCGTAACTGATTGCTAGTGTTCTCAATATTTAACTAAGCTATAACAGATGGCAGTGGTGTCAATATAAAATATATTTATGTACTGCTTTCCCCTCTATTTTGCACAAGGTTTGTGAAAAAAAATTTCAATAGAACAGCACAATGGCCTAAATCTACCACCATGATGGTTCTGCGGCATTAGAACTACCTGCCATTCCCAGCGGCTCTTGGTGAACCCGCAGATTACCTCTGGATCATTTCCTAGCTTTCAGAAGCTTTTTAAGGTGCAGGGCAGGGGTGGGGCTTTGATGGGAAAAGTGTCTTCCCTACATTGCGTTATTTTCCAACATCACTAGATAAGCAACATGATCTACAATTCACAGACTGGAATCCTATTCACACATGATCAGAAATGAGATCAGCATCTTGTAAATAAAAGACAGAGACAGAGTGCTGTCCTCTGAAGATGCCAGCCACAGAGACTGGCGAAACATTAGGAAGAACGACGTCCCCCTTCTGTTTAAAAACCTGCCCTTTTTGCTAAAGGGATATGTGGCAAAAAGGGCAGGTTTTTAAACAGATTTGCTGGCAATCCAAAGGCAAAAAAAGACCTCTGATTTAGACTATAAAGTAGCCAGGGGATTTGCACAATCTCAGGATGACAAGGTAAAATTCACAGTCTCAGGTTTACTTCTTTTTTGCTTCTCCTAAACATTAAAGCCATGCAGCCCCCAGGGACACTTTCTGGCTTCCCAAGGCCCCTCATACCCTCCCCACATTTTTAATGGCTTAAAATATACCTCTGTGCCATCTACGGGCCATGGGGGGGGTAATTGTGAATTGTTCTGATGGCCTCATACGCCCCCCGGCCAGCTCATAACCCCCCTTTTTAAATTTGACCACAGGGAGATGTAAGGGAGATTTCCTTTAAAAAATTTGTTAAAAAAACTTACATCAAATTTTCAGTTAACAAAAAAACATTGTGGCGATTTTTGCAGCACACAACCACTGCATCACCTTTCTAAATAATTATTAATAAATTAAATAAGCAAATAGCCATGGCCCTCCTCTTTACTATGCCCCCTTCGGAGTGCAGCCTTCAAGCTGCCAGCGGATATAAAAAATGGCCTTTGGCCTTGCGGAACTTGCCCACTCCTATAGCAGGGAGGTTTACTGCACAGAAACAGTCTTCCATCCTTACTCATTTGTTCCTTAGATACAGTAGATAGGGGGAAACTATACATTCAAACTGCTTCAGGTTTTTCATATGAAATTCTGCATTCCCAAACTCTGCCATTTCATGCATGGGAAAAACTGCCCTTGAATTTAATATCAACCTCAATCATTGAAGCTATAAAAAAGAACACAAAACACTGAGCAAATAATTCAAATAACCAAGCCTCTTTACTCTGTTGCAAAAGTCAAGCCAAACACTAAGCAAAGTCACACGTATTCACGGTCAAGGAATACAAAGGCAGAGTGCAGAAGTAGAAAAAACCTCTCAGCCATGCTGCTGGAGGACTGGGAGTAACTGAGAATTGGGAAGAGTAACTTTCCCCAACTGTGGAAGGTGCATGCATGAAAGCTAGCAAAACTCTTTATTTTCCTGGTTGAAATGGAGCAGATAGGAATAGATCAGATGTCCATGGACTCTGTTATGATGATACAAATGTGCGTACACCACATCTATATGAGAAACACATGGGATGCAAGTATAAAAAGAGAATAAAGAGAGAACACAAAAATACCTCCTTCATTCTACCATGTTTCCCTGAAAAGAAGACAGGGTCTTATATTAATTTTTGCTCCAAAAATGCATTAGGGCTTATTTTTCAGGGGATGTTTTATTTTACAGTCATGTTATCTTCTTCTGATTGCTGCATAATGGTGAAGGGCAGGGTTTCACTTAACTGGGGCTGAGTATTGGAGTTGGGCTTGTATTACAAGCATCCTGAAAAATCATACTAGGGCTTATTCTCAGGTTAGGTCTTATTTTCAGGGAAACAGGGTACACACAACCAATGGCTCCAATAATCAGTGTCTCAGATGCTGGATCATGCACCAGCAGGAAGACAAACTAGTTGGTGCTAATCAGAAGGGCAGTCAAAAAAGGGGGAGCTGATCCCCTACATAACAAGTTTCCAGCTTTCTCCAAGCTGTAGTGGCTGACTGACTAGGTTGGGTTGGCAACTGGCAAGCTGGCTAAGCAGCTGGCAGATGAATTAACAGGGCTATGAAAAAGCTTCCATATTCCTCTTGGATGAAGACCATGAAATACAACAGATAGAAGAGAATTCTGAGTTGGGCCAGAGCCAAACCCAAATAGCTTTCATACTTTCCATTGACTCACTTCCCTGGTGTAGGGAGAACTATGGTGGTGGTAGGAGCAGTGGATGGAGAAGGCAATGGTACAGAGCCAGACATCCCCAACCACTAGCAGTCTGGCTTATCTTTGCCATCCTCACCCCCTCCTCCAGGATAAAGCAGGTCTGAGTCTGCTTTTCTTAGACTTTGGCAATGTGGTAGGAAACCAGCAGCACTCAAGTTGTACTTGCCCAAGCCTGTGCAGAAGCTTATATAGTAGCTAGCAGAATAGGGCCTGTTAACCTACAATTAATCTAAGTCTGACCATTGTGAAAACATCAGCACACTAATTTTGTTCAGTGAGAGGTACACTCTACAACAATTTCTAAAATCCCATTTATTTACATTTATGTTATTCTGCTAGATTCACAAGTTAATAGAATTTAAAATGTAGAAACCAACTCACACCTGTTGAAAGAAACATTTTCAGAGAAAAGAAAAACAGTGTCCCCTCAAACAGCTGTTTCTGGCCTACCTGAAGATCTGAAGAGACAGAACTGCCTCGATCGGAGTCTTTTGGCAAAACAGGACTTGTGGTTTTCTCTTCAGATGAAGACATCCTGAGTTAAGGTACTCCTATCAAAAAATTCCCAAAGGCAAACCTTATTTTCAGTCAAGGGGCTATTTCTAATTACTGCCTCAATATTCTCTAATATTATATACCAGCCAGTTGGCTTCAGATTAGAAACAGCAATTTCATTAGTTTTTCAAACTACTGTACTGTAATTTTTTTTTTTTTTGTGGGCTGTTCAGCAACACTTGGAAGCAGAGTACTGGCCTGCTTGCCACTATCTCACGAATGCATCTGTTCTAGAAGCCTATGTTAATAACAATCAAAAGACACATCAAATTACATTTCATAGGTATTTTCTTGTTATATCCATATGTGATTGACCTTCAGTAGATCCTCAGGCTGTGTATATTTCTAGAGCATGAATGAAATTCAAAACTCTTACAAAAACAAACCCCTTCAATTTCCCCTTTGGCTTATGGAAATTTAGAGCACATGACTTCAGATCAATTGGCCTACAAAAGTCAATTACCATTAGTGAAATGAAACAAATAAATTTACCAGTAAACGCATACTGTATGGTTAAAAATGAAATTCCAGAGGGAGCTATTAAATTTTAGGAAGTATTGTTTCATTGTACTTTTTTCTAGCTGATTTTAATGTATTATACAGTTGTCATTTTATATTGGGTATCTCTTTCGGGACCTGATAGTCAGAAAAGTAACTTAAGTATTTTTAAATAAATAGAACAAATGTTCAGCTTTGAGCTGTACTGTAAGGCAGCACAGAACAAAGCATTATACCTAACAATTATTAAAACAAATAATTCCAAAGTGATTCAATAAACTGATAATAATCAAAACTTCTGGAAGAAAATACAACCCCTTAAAAGCTTGCTGAAAGAAAAACATTTTAATGCTGCACCCCAAGGGCTGTCAGTTTAGGCCAACAATGACTGCCAGAAATGTATAAGAGATGTGGTCCAGATACAAGCAAAGAAACAAAATGCCTCCTACGGATTCAAAAAATAAAGATCCAGTGTTTGAGTCAGATAGTACTTATGTTCCTGCTGCTTTTTATTATTTGTGCCCTTCTGCCTGCTGCTGCTGTACTTATAGTTGGTTGTTGCTGTTTTATTATTGGTATTGGTTCTTGTTATATTTTGATACTTTTTAGTTACTTGCCTGTGAAGTTTTTTAATTAAAAAGAAGCAGGAATTTTCAGTAAATAACTAACAAGGCATGGAAATCAAAAGAATAAAACATAAAACAAAACAAAAGATGTGAAAATATAAGCAAAGCTTTTTAAATTAAATCATAGTTTGAAAGCCTGTCTCTATGTTATTAGCTGCAAATTGCCACATAGTGTACAAGTAAGATTTTAACAAAAAAGATCCATTCCAATTTACACCAGGATCCTTACAGTAAAGCCCCAAGATTCCACCCTCCAGGTATGCAGATTTAGTAACCCCAATAAGCTATACAGATCCAGCTTGCAGGCCAAGAATCTGTATGTACCACTGCAGTCTTTTCAGGTCACCGCAGCAGAGTCCGCAGATCTTGATTAAGACAAATGGAGTAGCTTACTGCTCTTGGAGAAACTGTATTTGGATGAACTTATGAGCACTATGAAGAACAAACAGCCTCCAGCTCCATTTTGGATTTTATCTTAATCTGCTATAAAATGCTGCTTAAGGTGCTAATGTATATAAGATAATTCTCTGAGACATCAAAAATATTTCCAAAAGCTTAGACATAACATCTTTAGACAGTTCAAAACACTTAAAACAATACCCAGGTTTCATCAGCCCATAACCCATACAGTGAATAAGCCAGTAACTCCCCTATAATTAACCATTATATGCCAGCAAACTGATTCTGACTTACAGCAACTTTTCCCAGCATTATCTAGGTAAAGAGTAATGGGAAGTGATTTATCATTCTCATCTTCTGGAGCTATTCTGGGGCCATGTACAGTAACTAGCCCTCGGCTCCACAGGTTGATTCTTCTCAAAGGAGGCACAGTGGGGAATTAATCTCCCATCCTATCAAACCTCCCCGTATAATAATTGTGTGTCATCACAAAGTCAACAATTCAATTCTGACTTAAGGCAAACCTCTCCAGGGGTTTCTAAGCAGAGAGTCCTCATAAGGGGTTTCCCATTCCCTTCTTCTGGGGACATCGTGGGACTCTGCCACTTGCCCAAGGTGACACAGAATGGAGAACTGACCTCCCAACCTCTGGCTCCACAGCCAGAACCTCACTCAGCTATCCAGCCACTTTTGAATAGAGTCACGTGATTACGGCTGCCACCTCCTGCTTTTATGATGGACAACGTTTTGCAATTATGTGATCTGAACATCATCCCAAGTCATTAGGCAGAGAGCTAATTTATAAGTGTATTGTATCATTAAATGGGCCAGTCCACATAGCTCAGGGAAGAGTTGAAGAAGTGACCTCCCAATTTGCATCAGCCCTTGCGATAAACGAAAGTGCTCAAGCCCCCTCTTCAACCTACAGTTGGGGAGGAGGAGGAAGAAAGGAGCATAGCCATGACAGCAAGGGAGGTAACTCAGGCAACTGAGTCAACAAGCGGAAAACATTTACCTTCAGGCCTGTCTGCCGAGGCTCACTGGGTGTGAATTAAAACAATATGTCAAGATGTGTCGACAAGAATTGTGTCGGAGGCATACCTGTGAGACCTTTGCATTGCTGAACAATAAAGATTATAGCATCTGCCAACCATACCATGCACATAAGGGAAGTGGGTGCGCATCTTCCGTTTTCTTGTGTTTTGGGTCTTGCATTTACCCTCAGACAATTACAAGGCTACACCACAATGAAACTGGAACACACAACACCCTCTTTACCCACCAGTTCTTACCTCCCTCTTCCCTCTTCCTTAAAGACTGGCTCTCAATCCGAGTTTAAAATAAATAAACAAGACTACTAGCCTCCTGATGTGGGAAATCTACAGAACGAAGAGGGCCTGAAGAGGAACTGTAAGAGTAAGCAGGATGCAATTCTGAAGGGGGCTGAAGTGCAAAGGCTGCACGGTGGGAAAGGGCAAAAAAAAGTGAAAGCAAGGCGCGTACACACACACAGAGGGCAGATGCAGATTGTAGGAAGGCGCCTGCTGCTCTTCTTCAGGAGACTCTCCGAAGCCGCGGAGGCATGATTAGGCTCCGCACCTCGCGCCGCAGCCACCCCCTTGTCCTCTGCACCCAGGAATAGCTGGGGTGCTGCCCCCTCCCCAAAAACCACCCACTCCTCTCACCTGAGCAGGCGCCACACCTCCCTGCTCTTGCAAAGGAAAGCCCGACAGTTTCAAACTGCCAGTACTAAAAGAAAGGGCGCCTGTGATTGGTCCAGATCTTTTTGTTAAAAGCTGGCTGACAGGACAATACTCGCCACTCTCCTCTTCTCCAATCGGCAGGCCTTCAGAAGGCGGGGCTTCTCGGAAGAGAAAACCCAATGAAAAAACTGAAATTAAGTACAGTACTGTAAAGCAAGCGCTTTTCAGGGGCTATTCTCAGACCGGCATTCTGACGTAATGGAGTAGATTCTTTGTCGCGCGCTGATTGGTCCGTTGGTGTGAGCCCGGGCATGAGAAGCGGGTACGGAAGAAGCAGTTAGGCCAGGATCACGTGATAGAGGGAGGTGAAGTAATTCTGAGTTTATTGTTGACTCAGAAGTCAACAGTTCAATCCCCTTTAAAACCAAAAGGGATTATTCATGAGTAACAGTGCATATCATGAGAAGGCAAGATTCTCAGGAAGAGACAGTAACGCTGGGCAAGGTTGAAAGCAGCAGGAAAAGAGGAAGACTAAATACCAGATACTGTATATGGATTCTCAAGAAGCCACAGGCTTGAGTTTACAAGCGTTCAACAAGGCTGTTGATGAGGAGACACTCTGAGAGTAAGCAGGGTGCAATTCGGAAGGGGGCTGAAGTGCAAAGACAAGGCTGTTGATGAGAAGACACTCAGAGTAAGCAGGATGCAATTCGGAAGGGGGCTGAAGTGCAAAGGCTGCACTGTGGAAAAGGGCAAAAAAAGGGGAAAGCAGCGTGCGCGCGCGCGCGCACACACACACACACACACGATTTATAGGGTCGCCATAAATTGGAGGTGACTTGTCACTGTGGAAAAGGGGGGGGGGAAAGGGAAAGCAGCATGCATACACACACACGATTTTTAGGGTCACCCTAAATTGGAGGTGACTTGACAGCACCTAAGGACAACAATTCCAGTTTGAGTGTAGTATGGAATTGCAGAAGAGCAGTGCTCTCTTGTCTAAACTTTGAGCATTTCTGTCATGGCCACTTTCATTTGCACAGTGCCACATCTTGTTTTCACTGCCATTTGTTCATGGCGTAAATCTGAATGGTGAATTACCACTAATGAACAAGTCATTGCTTGTATTGCTCCTCACGCAGCAAATCACGCCTCTGGCATGCAATAAGGAATACTAGCAGTGACCCTTTAACTCAGTGGTCTCCAACCTTAGGCCTTCAGATGTTTTTAGACTACAACTCCCAGAAGCCTTCACCACCTCTGCTGGCCAGGATTTCTGGGAGTTGAAGTCCAAGAACATCTGGAGGCCCAAGGTTGGGGACCACTGCTTTAACTCACAGCAATTCACTGCTGGCATTTACACTGCAGCAGTTACACTAACATAGCTAACCAATACGATTCTAGCCCATGAATCTTGCAGTGCTTGCTAGTTGCTACTATCACAGCTTCTTCACAGCTGCATTCATAAATGTAAGAGTTCAGTTTGTTAAATATCAGCTAGTGTAACAGTTATGTTAATTCTTGGAGATTATGGCCAGGAGCTAATGGTTTGATTCCATTTACAATGCCACCAGAAGCAGAACTTTCTCTGCCATCCTGCTGCAAAGCTCTGCAGCCTCAAAAAGTACTTCAGAGAGTTTCCCAGGCCTATAGAACAAATTCCTGCTGTGCACAAAATGGGGTTTCTGATGGAAGCTGAAGAATCCAATGGAAGTACAGTGCACAGTTGACTCATGGCCTGTGATGCTAACTGGTGTAGGCAGTTGTAGACTCTTGTGTTGTCATGAGGCAGACAGGGTGCAGGGGCCAGAACTGTTTCTGGGGCAATCAAATGTAGACATGGAGAACAGTTAAATGGGTTCAGAATCCAGGTAGAAGCCAGCTGATTGAGTAATATGGCAAATGCTTCACCCCTCGTCTTGCTTCCCACAATATAGTGGGCTACAGGCTTTGCATCCAATGGCTATCTCCTGAGCTCCATCATCTTATTTCTGCATTTTTCATACAGCGGTATTGTACAAGCCCAGGACATATTAAAATACAGTACAGTACCTTCATTCCAAGACCATCGGCTCTGGTGCCAGCTGGAAAAGGGTGGAGATGGGTGCTCAGCCTTTATCAGCATCTCAGAGGAAAATCGGACTACTTCTAGTGCTGTTTCACCTGTGATTTGTCTCCTCAGTTGGAGAATCTGAGAAGTTTAGAAATTCTCAGGAACTCGGATGGATTCCTTGTGACCTGGCAACCCAGGTTACTTTGGGCTGTCACGCCATCTTAGCCTGATGTACTTTGCAGAGTTGTTGTAAGATTAAGTAGAAATATCAGGAGAGCTATGTACCCTGCCTTGTGCTCACTGGACATAAAACATATTCAGACAAGGGGATAATGGTCACTGAACTCTATAAAGGATATTTTTTTGGTCTAGTACTTTGAATTTTGTGTGAAGTACTTGCTAGAGGTACAGGCTTATATCCTGTTGTTTGTGCCAACTGGAGTAGACCCACTGGATCAATGGATTTATTGAGAGAGTTGAATCAATTCAGCATTTGATACTGTACTCTGTTTGAGACTAGCAACTGGACTTAAACCACAGTCAGAAAAAATCATTTGTGCAAGTGGTTCTTGGTTCTGTTGTCAACTGATCTATGTGTTTACATCACTATTCAGCAGCAAGCCTATTGCCAGACGGTTTTAAAAAATTATTTGTTCTAAATTTGATTGTAGGACACCCAATTTGTATTTCTGGGCAACGCAGAAAGAAAGTGAATAAACGACTTGGGAGAAGACACAGTTTGCAGAAGTATAACAAACATATATAAGCAGGGAAGTAGGGTCCAGAAAAGCCATGCATGAGAACATTCATGGTAAACACAGAATACTGGCCAATTTAGGACATTTTGGAATGGAGTAGTTTGAAATAAAGTATATGTGGCTGGCTGGAACACAGACTAGAAGCGCTCCCCACAGCAGCAGTTTGTTGCTAATTACCCTTGTTAATTTCACTTCTTCAAATTATTTTTTAAAACATATATTCTCAGGATCTCAAGCTAATAAACAAAGCAAAAACATTACACTATATTTTACAAGTGATATACCATAGCTACCAATTTCACAACCTGAATGTGAACCCTTCCACAATCCCACTAATGTAATAAACTAACGAATAATTACAATTTATTAAGTAGTCTAAATGTGAATGGTGTTAAAAATAAACCAAAGGAACAGCAATCAGCCCAAAACCTTTTCTAAAAAAACAACCACCAAACATGTTTTTACCAGCCACCCAAAACTGATCCTCACATATCTCAGCTGCCAACCCATTCTGTAAGGCAGATGCTTGTGTAAGAAAAACTCTTCCTAAGGCCCAGGTACTTACCTGCCCTATGTCACAGAAAGCAGGGGATTTGGAGAAGTGCCTCAGGACTAAGTAGGTAGTAGACAGTTTAGGATTATTGTACTTTCTGTTTTTCAATCACAAGGAAGCATGCACCACCTTGACCTGGACTGGGATTCTTCTTATACATAAGTAAGAGATTTAAATGTTTCCAGCTAGCTATTTTTTCCTCCAAAACCTACCACTAAAACATCTCCTTTGGTGTCAGTGGTTCCATTGGGGTGGTATCTGAGAGAAAAACATTGTTGAGATTGGTGAAATCTCCCCTCAACCAGATATGTTTTCTTCTGTGTAAATGAGATCCCCAAGTATACAGTATGACCTGTGTCTAATAATATGCTAGGCAGGTGCTTGCACTTTAAGGCAGGAGATGATGCCACATGCTGAGTGACAGAGACTCTTTCTCTGACCAGGTCAGCATGTTGTCACCTTAATAAGATAAGCTACTCTTAGAACAGTAGATCTGAAAGTAGAAGATGTGACATGTACTTTCTTATGCTCATGGTTCCCACTAGGACAGTGACATGACCATAATAAAATAGTATATACATGTGTTTTTTCTTTTTATAACAGACATCAAGTCCAGTGCATTCTGCTAGTTTCATGCTGGAAGCTGGCTTGTGCATTTAATGTACTGTGTCATTGTGTTGTTAAACGATGACTGAAACGTGAGAGGAACATATGTTAAAAAGGTGGTCCTAAGCTACTCAGGTTCCAAGTCATTGAGGGCAGGCACGAGGAACAGGTTTGGGCTAGAAATCAGCCCCATCAGACAATGGCCACAGGGACTGTAGTGCAAAAGTTATGGAGGGCTAAAGATTCTTCATCCTTGATTTAGGGTATTATTTTTAATTACTTGTTTCTTTTTATATTAAAGAGCTACATTTCTCATTTTAATATAAAAAAGTAATTTGTACAAGACTTCTGTTTAGCTAGAGTTCTTCCAACCCCCCTCCCCCCAAAAAACAAACCCAAAACCAGAATGTTTCCACAGTACTGCCAAAATGGAAGGACCAGGTGTTCACCTAAATGACTTTTGATATGAGCTCAGAAGATCAACATCTCTAGAGAGAGCTCCTAATGGCAATGTGTGCATGTCCGACATATTTATGATGACAGGTTTGGCCTCAGGCCTGATGGATTTCCATTACAATTACAGAGACAGAAAGAACTATAAAATGCATGCATCAGTGTCTTTTGAACTAAAACTGAGGTTTCTACCGGGATCTATTATTTAAAATTATCTATGAATAGTAAGATCTGCTTTTATTTCACCATACTTGCTTACAGTAGTGTGCACAGCATTTTAAAGATAGTTTCTAACCACCCTATTGCATAGCTTCTCTAATTCCTAGAAATATTATCCTTATCGATAAATACTGGCCAGGCAGAACGGAGCAAAATCTCTGTTCAAAATGGACATTTGTTTCCAGTGTGATGAAAAAGAATAAAAAAGACTGCAGGGATGGTACTGAATTTCTAAGACCGTAGGCTAAATCCAAACTAGAGTGGATCTATTGAAATTAATAGCTGGTAGTTAACACTAATGAAGGTCCTACTGATTTCTATAGGTCTATTCTAGTTGGGAATAAAATAGGTATACATAATTGTAGTATCAGATGTTCTTTGTGGCCAACTATAATCTACAAAGTTGGGCGTAGCAGGCTTACTTAACAGGTGGTGATGGTATGTCACGGCAAGACTGAAGAAAGAACTGCTCTACCCAAACTTACCTCTCATTGAGCTCAAACATCCATTTTGAACTT